TCATTCCCTTTTAGATTTGTTTTTCTTACCTACAGAACTATTTGCTTTCTATTTGAGGGTGCTGAGGCGCTGGCACAGGGTGCCCAGAGAAGTTGTGGCTGCCCCATCCCTGCAGTGTTCAAGGCCAGGTTGGACACAGGGGCTTGGAGGAAGTTGCTGTAGTGGAAGGTGTTGGAACAGGGTGAGCTTTATGGTCCCTTCCAACCCAAACCATTCTAGGATTCCATAAACGGAATTAATATTGTTATATTATCAGTGCATATAATCTTTGGGTCATCTGTTTAGACAGACAGGCAATCAGTACCATATGGTTCCATTCTGCTGCAGATAATACAAGGGAAAATGCACCTGTGAGCTATCTGAGGGGCTCCTTTTTAAGGAACAGAACCTTAAAACATTGCAGGCTATCAGATGTGTTGGTTGTGTTTGCAGTATCTTCTTTTCTGAGACAGCTGCTGTCTGTGTGTGAAAAGCTGCATAAAAGAGCCAGACATGATTACCTATTGAACTTTGCTTGGGAAGGGGCCAAAGTGAGCAACTCATGTCTCTAACAGTGCTGTATGCACATTTGCACTAGGTGAAATTGAGTGGTTAGTGGCCTGATGCTGTACTGACACTTCAAACATGTACCCTAGCACTTCTCCAGGCATTATAGCATTTGGGAGAATAGGTTCTGCTCTGGGACTTCTGAATTTCCATTCTGAATGTCTTTGTACATGTGGAAGATTTTACCTCCAGATGATCTCATGTATTCTGTGCAAAGTTGCAAATATAAAGCATAGATGGTAAGTGTTGCATTATTGGTTTTGTGGCAAAGCTGGTGTTATGTATATGAAGCTTTAAGAGCCCTCTTTTTCCTCCTGTGTGTGATTGATGTGCTCTTCTTGGGCTTGCCTCTTCTGGGGGTTGCCCAAAGAAGTGATAAATGCTCCATCCCTGACAGTGTTCAAGGCCAGGTTGGACAAAGCCTTGGGCAACATGGTCCAGTGTGAGGCATTCCTGCCCATGGCAGCAGGTTGGAACTGAATAAGCTTAAGGTCCTTTACAACCCAAACCTTTCTATGTTTCTATGATTCTGCACAGCCTTTTGGCGGCAGAAATGTGTCTTCACCTAAGGAGGACAGAGAAAAGGCAGGATGTGTCCCAGTTGCCAAGTGCAAGGTCCTGCACTTGGGTCGGAGCAATCCCAGGCACAGCTACAGGTTGGGCAGAGAAGAGATTCAGAGCAGCCCTGCAGAGAAGGACTTGGGGGTGTTGGTTGATGAGAAAACTGAACATGAGCCGGCTTCAGTGTGCTCACAGCCCAGAAAGCAACCGTATCCTGGGCTGCATCAAAAGGAGCGTGACCAGCAGGTCGAAGGAGGTGATCCTGCCCCTCTACTCTGCTCTCGTGAGACCTCACCTGGAGCATTGTGTGCAGTTCTGGTGTCCTCAGCATAAAAAGGACATGGAACTGTTGGAACAAGTCCAGAGGAGGCCACGAGGATGATCAGGGGACTGGAGCACCTCCTGTATGAAGACAGGCTGAGAAAGTTGGGGCTGTTCAGCCTGGAGAAGAGAAGGCTGCGTGGAGACCTCATAGCAGCCTTCCAGTATCTGAAGGGGGCCTATAGGGATGCTGGGGAGGGACTCTTCATTAGGGACTGTAGTGATAGGACAAGGGGTAAGGGGTTAAAACTTAAATGGGGGAAGTTTAGATTGGATATAAGGAAGAAATTCTTTCCTGTGAGGGTGGTGAGGCACTGGAATGGGTTGCCCAGGGAAGTTGTGAATGCTCCATCCCTGGCGGTGTTCAAGGCCAGGTTGGACAGAGCCTTGGGTGATATGGTTTAGTGTGAGGTGTCCCTGCGAATGGCAGGGGGGTTGGAACTTGATGATCTGAAGGTCCTTTCCAACCCTAACTATTCTATGATTCTATAATTGTCCCAAATGCTCTCCTTGGATAAGAACCTTAAGGTAGTTTTAGGAGCGGCTGTGGTTCGTTTACTCACCGTCCCAAGCCTCATATGATTTTAGCGTTATAAAAGCCAATGAGGTTATTGTTTTAAGGTATAAGATGCCCTGAGGGCTTTGCTCACTCAACTGTACCGAGGAATTAAATGCTCTCAGGCAGTGCAACAACCTCATTCACTCCAGTGTTGCAAGGCAAGGCAGTCATCGATGGTAAATGGGCCCGTATTACAGTGACATTAGCATTTTAATGCAACTAAGGAGGAGGCAGATTGACTGTAATTTAGTATCTAGTTGCATGGCCTTGTGCAGGTCCCCTCATCGCTGCTCTGCAGGGGCCGATTATAGTTACTCAGTTCACTTTGGAATCTAATTGGATTTACATGCAGTAATGTAGTCGTGTCACAGCAATGACTCTGCTATGCAAGCGCTATGAAATTCCAGTGCAATTAGTTATTTATATAGGAGCAATAGTTACAGGGTAACGCATAGAGCTGACAGTTTGTGCCAAGCTCCAGTACAGGAGCAGCAAATGTTCTACTGTTTTCTGAAGGCACTGCAAGGGAATGATATTAAGCTGATCCTGCTTCCACAGAGATGTTTCTCCTTACCCTTCACTGTAAAAGCACTGACCTGTTGCACAGGTCCAGCAGGACATGACTTCTGTCTTCATCTGTACGTATGGGCTGGCATGTGTTTGATTTCTCTAGATCATAGAATCATAGTATGGTTTGGGTTGGAAAGGACCTTAAGATCATCCAGTTCCACCCCCCTGCCATGGGCAGGGACACCTCACGCTAAACCATGGCACCCAAGGCTCTGTCCAACCTGGCCTTGAACACTGCCAGGGATGGAGCATTCACAACTTCCCTGAGCAACCCATTCCAGTGCCTCATCACCCTAACAGTAAAGAACTTCTTCCTTATATCCAACCTGCACTTCTGCTGTTTCAGTTTGAACTCATCACCTGCAAATGTCGTGATCAAAGGGGACTGGGAGCAGATAGAGGCACTTGTGAATTAAGACATCTGTAAGCCGTTCATCTGGTGGCCTTCCTACTAGCTAATGTGCAGGAGACTGGATTTCTCCCAAAGAAAGGCCATCTTTCACTCTCCATTAATTTCTTGTTTCACTTACTACCTGCTGACTGTCTTACTCTCTTTTTGCCTGCTCCCTCTTCTCTGTGGCTGTCCAACTGTCTTGCTGCATGAGACCAGCCCGAGTCATGAGTTTATAGAATCATAGAATGGTTTGGGTTGAAAAGGACTTTAGGATCAGCCAGTTCCAGCCCCCTACCATGGGCAGGGACACCTTCCACTAGCGCAGGTTGCTCCAAGTCCTGTCCAGCCTGTGCTTGAACACTGCCAGGGATGGGGCATTAACCACTTCTCTAAGCAACCTGTTCGGCTGCTTTTCTTTCATCAAATCCTGCTTCTCACAAAGAGCAGAGAGTACAGTGCCCAGCAAAGAGACATGATGTGGTAGCTGTGAGCTGTGAGGGAGGAGGCAGGACAACGTGCCAAATGCATCTGCTCAGCCAGCTGAGGCAGCGTGGCTTGCACGCCCCAAGGATGGAGGCTTGCTCCAGCTTCCACTGTGTTCCACCAGCGACTGTAATTAAAGGCATCAGCTTGCTCCAGCCCCAATTAGCCACGGTGGTTTTGCACTTTCTGCAATCCTCCCTAATGGCAAAATCGTAGCTATTAACCAAAGAGAGTCTGTTTGGCAGGGACTTCCTCCCCTTTAGGGCCATAGAGTAAGACGGAATATTGCTATTGCTTGGCAGCGAGCGCGCTCTTTCATCCCTCCTGACACAGCACCTGCTGGCACCCACTGAAGCATTTAAAGCTCTTCCTCTCTGTGGTGCTGCAATTTCTTTAAAATATTGTGACTTCAGAGGAATAGGAAAAATAAACTTCCTCTCCCACGCAGACCTTTGAGGGCTTGTAGGGATGTAATTATATGCACATGCCGTAGGAATAAGAATCCTATCATTCTGGTTGTTTTCCTAATGACAGGTTTATATGGCGCAGTGTAATCTCTGCTTTAAAGTTAGAGCCATCTTCTCCTGGCAGCAGCTATCTCAGGATAACGGCATCACAGGATGGGGCAACTGAAGATACTGACTCTTAATTGCATATGCAAAGCACAGGAGGAAGTGTGCCCATACACAAAAGAGACAGATAAAAAGGGAAAGGTGGGCACCAGACTGCAAGAAGGGGCTGTGAGGCAGTGACACTGTTCTGTCCTTACTGTAGACTTTCCAAGCCCCTCTCTAGAGGTCCCTGAGCTGGTCACATAGCACCCTCTGAACTTCTACACTGGTGGCAAAGCTGACCTGGGGACGGCCTTCATACACAGCACTGTAATGAAGTGGGGCAATCGAGCAACTGCTCAGCAGATGCCTTCAGTACTTAGCAGCAGAGACTGGGTACAGATGTTTGTATCCTCCAGATTCCAAAAGGGAAGCCATCCCTGCTCATCATTCAGGGTTTAGGTCCACAGCGAGAGAGGAAGGACACAAAATGTGAGGGATTAACGCAAAACAAAGAAGTCTATGAATATTCATTATATGGTTTATATTGTAATAGTTTCAGCTGCCTTGAAACCCTGTGTTCGCCTCCTGCCAACAACAAACGATAGACTTTTACTCACAGAAGCCTTAATGGGAGGCAATTTTCCAAGGCACATTCACAAATGTTTGTGGGAAACAGATGTTAAATGCACCTCCTCCAGAAATGATGAGGAAATACTGGCAGTGGGAGAGCAGGGATAGACCCAGGTGACTTATCTGAACCCTCACAGGGATGCAGTGGCTTCAGCAAAGCAATCTGTGAAGGATGAGTGAGTTACAGTGCTGAGCGACTGTGAGTGAATCATAGAATGGTTTGAGTTAGAAAGGCCCTTAAGATCATCCAGTTCCAACCCCCTGCCATGAGTAGGGATGCCTCACATTAGACCATGTTGCCCAAGGCTCTGCCCAACCTGGCCTTGGACCCTTATGACATGGGGTGCTCTTTGAATGGATAAAAGATGCCTCCTCCCCACAGGCTCTGCAGTGTTGGATGGGTGGAAAAACCAACCTGGGAAAGGATGCCCTGAGGAACCGTCAGTCAAATGAGCATGTTAGTCTGTAATCCCACCTCCCTTTTACCAAGCCAGGGTTTGTCATTAGCATTGTGCAGGCAGAAATTAAAATGTATTGATAAAATCGGAACTTCTAGCTCAAGGGCAGTGGCTGTGTGCACCCAGGTCCTTATGCCTGTGCTGCTTTATCTAATGCCTTTGGGTAGGCAATGCAGTGGCTGCACCATTCCTCTCTATTGCTGCTTCCCAGGCAGTGACAATGAGGCAGAGGGAGAGAAATGGTTTGCTCAACTTGTCATGAGAGCTGGCTGGAAGAACAAGGAACAGTGCCCAGTGTCTCAGGCCGTTGCTCCTAATGGCTGGGCTGGGCTTCCCAAAGATGCATTCCAACTCCCTTCCTATGCCTTTTCCATTTTCCTGCTAAATGGGCTATCAAGTCACAGCAGGTTAAAGTTTGTCTAAACCTCCTATAAAATATTGAAGGCGCAGCTGGTATTAATCTAGTCCTGTTGTGGTATGAGGTGCGTGTGTAATGGGACTATAGATTTAAACGTGGTATGTGGGCTTTTAAAACACCCCAAAGGATGTTAAAGGGATGCTGAGGAATCAGATCCCTCACTGGGTATTAAAAGCTCTTCATTAGTGCTAATGTACACTAAATTAAGGTGGCAATTAGACTGAGCATATTCATCAGGATGGTGTGTTTTAATAAATTGTGTATTTAACATGATTGCATTTTATTGACTTCTGCAGTAATTGTGTATTTTTCTCTTCCAGGAGAAGCTTGGTTAGAAGGAGATACATGTGACACACAGAGAATTAAAGAGTAGAAGAGACACCGTGCTTCAAGTCCCAGGATTTGTGAAGGTGAGTCTTGATTATGGCTCTTTCTTTGTGCTTTCTTTGTATTTCTGTCAAGGATGGTTAGGTGTGAAGGAGGGGAGTAAGAAATGCACATCTCATCTGCCCTCATATCATCTGCAAGATGTACTGCAACAAATTGTCTGCCTTTGGTGTCCTAAATAAACTGCCCCATCTCTGTTCTACCTAGAGGAGCAGATTTTGTGGAAATGATGCTCTGAGGGGGTTTGTGGAAAGCACCAGCAGTTAGATGTCTCCATAGCAGACCCCAGTTTAAAGGAGGTGGATACCACGGCAGACAGCGAACCCAGAAATCCTATTGGATCGAGCAGCTCCATGAAAGGAGGCAAACATGATGAGTCAAGCCTCCTTACCTTCAAGCTAAAGGGTGGGTTTCCATGTTGTTCGGTAGAGAACGTCGTGGAGCAATGCTAGGTTTTGGTGGTCCTTCACCACCGACGCAGCTTACAGCTTCAGGGATGCTTCTAGTGACATCTCAGCTGGGACAGCCTCTAAAAATTGATGCTTTGACTTGAAGAGAATCTAGTCTATATTTTCTAATTCCTTTATAAGCTCTCTGGAGAGCTTCAAACACGTCTTCTGCTTTTACCTGATCGCACTTTGTATGAATATGAAAGTAGGTGTGAATTAGCACCACTTGTTCCTCAAGCCTTTGGCTACAGGAGGTACTACAGAACTGGTTCTTAGGTTTTAAAGGAAGCAACAGATCAGTTCAGTGCACACGGTATCCATGCATGTTGGATAATACTGCATGTTGGATAAATATCTCTTTGCCAACATGCATATCCATGCATGTTGGCAAAGAGATATTTATGTCAAAGAAGATGTATGTGGACAATATGATAGAAGTGACTGAAAAAGGGGTGAGGGATGGACAAGGTGACATCTAGACAGCTCTTCCAATCTTAGTTATTCTGTGATTTCTATCAGGTATTTGAAATGGGGAGACTCTGACAAGCTATCAGGCAAGTGCACAATACCTGAATTTTAGGGGTTTAAACCCATTTAACCCTGGGGTTAAACCACAACAGTAGTGGAATACAAATAGTCTGCAGAGGTATGTTAGGGGTGGGTATTATGTGGTTGGAATGGTAGGCAAGGAAAATGGTTCACATCCTTCTTTTCAGTAGAGAGTAGGAGAGATATGAAAGATGAAATGATTTAGACTGATGAAGATAAGGTGCTCTTGAGAGTCCTGATAGACTGGCACATCTGAGGGATGCTCTTGTTCCTTTTGCACAAGGTAACTTGGACATACCTTGGAGGCTCTGTCTTCAAAAAGCTTTTTCCAAGGAGGGTGATCACACATTGTAAGAGGTGCCCGGGGAGATGGGAGAATCTCAGGCTTTGTTGATGCTCAAACTAATATTACTCTGAGCAACCTGCTGTAACTAAAGTTGGGATTGGCCCCGGTTGGTGGCAGTGGGTGCTTGTACTCAATGACATCCAGAGTCACTGCTCCTTTGCCATCTCCAGCACAATGGAGCAATTGAAGTGAAACCAGGGGGTTCAGTCCAGTGTGAAAAGGATATGGTGGGAGAGGGAAATGTCAGTGGTAGCAAAGAGAAACTTGGAAGCAGTTTTGGGGGGTGTGGTGGAGCAGCTGCCTTTGGATATGTGAAGTTCAAGGTAGCTGCAAAAGCAAATGTCAGAAGGAAGGAACTAAATGGTGGCTGGAGGACAAAAACGTGCATTGCCTTGAAAAACTAGGCTGTATTCCTAACTGATTACAGCAGCTGGGGTATGTTTCCTGGCTACCCTGCTGGGGATTTTGAGCCTCCTCATCACTTTGCGAGATAAAACTCGTATTAGGGAGGGTGAAATGTGTAATAATCTGCCTAAGAAAAAGCTGAACATTTATAGCTACATTTCAGACAAAAACAAATGCATCTCATGTGTCTCGCGGGTCTGAGATGGGACAAGCCAGAGAAAGCATCTGTCAGCCGCTGTCTTCTGCAGTTCTGGCTGTTAATGTTTGCTTAGCATTAAATGTCTCCTGTGGAGGAGAACTTAATCTGTCACAAATTTGGGGCCTGGAGGAGGGGGAGAAGGTATTTTTAAGAGGTGGATTAAGACATATGCGTTTGGGTTTTATCGCACTTGCATCAGCGTGTTGTAGGAGTAACTGTCAAGATTTGCCTTTTGTGTGTATGGCTTAGAAAGAAAAGTGGAAGGAAGAAGTAGCTCTGTGGGTCAGGATTCTCCTTTCATGTCAGCTATTTTCTCCATGCAGCCTGTCACTGGGGACTTGAGGTACCTTCAGCTAATTAGAAAAGCAGCAGTTGACACAAGGGGATTCATAATTACACTATTAGTAAGTAATGTTATTTGCATTTTGCTTGTGTTGATTGTAAATGGCATTAGTTGCATACTCTCCAAAGTCTACGGCATATATGAACTAGATGGTAATATATTTCGTGTACCCTGGAGTGATTGAGTTCTGACAGTAAACAGATTTAAACCCCACAAAAGAGGTCAGATCATGCTTTTGATTAATTTGCCCTGTTTTAATCAGTGCAATCACAGGATCCAAATGGTGATCTTGCAAGTGCTGTTTGGGAATCTGGATACCCATCAGAAACTGGAAAGCGTGTGTTATGCTGGGATGTGTGTGTCTCTCCAAGCTCGAAGTTCCAGCACTGAAACAGATGCTCAGAGCTCCTGTTTCTCAGATCAGATCAGTGGGTTGACATATTCTAGTAGTTTGCACTGAGCTGTTATGATGTGGAAGCTCTGACGTGCGTGTTCTTGGCTTTGCCAGCCCAGACCTTGCTCTATTGCCACTGACTTCCATTTGCACATCCTGAGTTGAAGGACCCTGGGATTTGTAAGCCCCACGGGGTGCGTTCCTGGCTTGAAGCGCTTCACAATTAGCAGGGTTTCACTTAGTTGTTGCTTTGCTGTGTGAAATGGGTTTAGAAATTACATATCTGAGCTCAGCACCACCAATGGGGACAATTTCTTACCCAGGCAAACAAGGGAGTCCTCAGTTATCAAAGCTGAGTGTGCCTGTGTTCATCCTGCTCCCACGTTACTATGACATGGGCCTGCCACAGAAGTTTGCTCAGTGGATTTAGAGTCTCTTTTCCCTTCTCATGCCTAGAAAACATTTGTCATACTGAGCGGGTGCATGGGCAGAAGCAGTGCAAGGAATCATAACTTAGGTTTGTCTTGGAAAAGAAAAGGAGGCCTGTACTAAATCAGAGCAGCTCCAAGGGAGCTTGCTCATCTTGCAGAGGAAGCAGACCCAGACACGGAAAGTAAAGTAAGGTGGGAATGTGATTTATCAACTCTATAAAGCAGCAAGACAGCGTTGGGCTCAGGCGCTGCTGCTTCTTGGACCACAGGCAATGTTTTTCATGTGGGTGCCTCAGCAGTGAGATGAGTGTGAATGATGTGAAGTGGCACAGTATGGCTCAAGTGGTTTGCTTTTCAGTCCTTTTATGCCTAAGGTTGCTGTGATATGGATCATATGGTGGAGGATCAAGGCAGCAGGACTTATTAGTTCAGCAGGACTTATTAGTTTCTCAGATAACTTTCAGGCTTAGCCATCCTTTGTTTCACTGGAGCATAACTGTTCGTGTGTGTGGTGATGGGAATATATGGGTGCCACTAACTGTGGGGCTCTTGAAGTTCTAGCATCCTATTGATGTGTCTGTATTTCCATATTGCTCTCTAATACAGTCTCCAAGCTCATGGGTTAGGGGAGCTGAAGGTTCACCTTTTCCATGAAACTGAAGAATTCTCTCCCACAGCTCCTTACCCTTCTGGACTTAAAGATAGAATCATAGAATCACAGAAGCATAGAATCATAGAATAGTTAGGGTTGGAAAGGACCTTAAGATCATCCAGTTCCAACCCCCCTGCCATGGGCAGGGACACCTCACACTAGACCATGGCACCCAAGGCTCTGTCCAACCTGGCCTTGAACAGCGCTAGGGATGGAGCATTCACAACTTCGTTGGGCAACCCATTCCAGTGCCTCAGCACCCTTACAGTAAAGAACTTCTTCCTTAGATCCAATCTAAACTTCCCCTGTTTAAGTTTTAACCCGTTACCCCTTGTCCTATCACTACAGTCCCCAATGAAGAGTCCATTCCCAGCATCCCCATAGGTCCCCTTCAGATACTGGAAGGCTGCTGTGAGGTCTCCAGGCAGCCTTCTCTTCTCCTTTCTCTATGAGGTTTGCAGACATGGCTTTAAACACCATCAAAAAGCTGTGGGCACCTCTTCCAGGCTCATGCCAGCGCTCTGTGCCCCACTCCATCTACTGCAGTTGTGGCTTTGAGTCTCTCTGGACAGAAGAGTTGTGTATCATCAGAGGCAGAAGAAAATAAACTGTAAAGAAAAATACTGCTTTTGTTCTGTGGTTCAGATTTGTGTTTCTCCAGAAGCGAGGTGGACTGTAAGCCTGGCTTTGTGGACCCTCTGTGGAAAGGGAGCTGTGCGTGCTGGTGGACAGCATGCTCAAGATGAGTGAACAGAGCGCTGCTGTGGCAAAGAAAGCCAACAGGATGCTGGGTTACATCAACAAGGGTATCACCAGAAGAGACAAAGAAGTCATCATCCTACTCTACTCAGAGTTTGTCAGGCCACACCTGGAATGCTGTGCTCAGTTTTGGTCCCTGCTATGCAGAAAAAGGATGTGGACAGGCTGGAGAGGGTCTCAAGAAGGGTCACAAAAGATGATCCAAGGACTGGGAAGCCACATGAGGAAAGGCTGAAAGAGCTAAGCTTGTTCAGCCTAGAGAAAAGGCTCAGGAGAGACCTTATCACCATGTTCCGGTATCCAAAGGGTGGCTACAAAGATGCTGACTCATTTTCTACAAGGAGTGACATGGAAAAGAGGAGGGGTGATGGGCACAAGTTGCTCCTGAGGAGATTCCAATTGGATGCAAGAGGAACATTTTTCACAATGAGAACAATCAGCCACTGGAATAATCTCCCCAGGGAAGTAGTGGATTCCCCAGCACTGGACACTGTTAGGATTTAGCTGGACATGGTGTTGGGACATCATGTCTAGGTCATGGTCTTGCCAAGAAAGGTTGGACCAGATGATCCTTGAGATCCCTTCCAACATGATATTCTATGATTGCTTCTATTATATCCTCAGGATTCTTCTAGCTAAGGGAATCCCCTGAGAGGTGCCCAGCCAGCAGAGCATGCTGCTGTCCTGCCCCAGGTACATGCAGATGCGGAGAGAAAGCAGCTGCATGTCCACAGGAGACACTGTGTCGCACCATTTGCACCTCTGCCCGTTTTGCCAATAGGAAGGAACTGATTTGATTGCCACCCAAGTCAAGCGCAGCAGACACGTACTGTGATAGAAACCTGGCTTCTGCCTCGGGCAGCCCCTTTCTGGGAGCTCTGCCTGCCATTGGTTTTCTTAGCTTTTAGGCTAAAGCAGAGCAGTTCCCATCACAGTGGGAAGCACCCCACGAGGCTCGACAGCATTCACAAGGTCTGTGGATTAACAAAACAATGAAGGAGTGAAAAGAGGAGTTTCATTTCTGACCTGGTGAAAACCTTGCGTAGTTTCTGTTTTTCTTTCAGTGAATCGAATGTACTTTACTAACATAGCATATCACTGGATGCGGATCTATTTAGGGAATGGCATTTGCAGTGGAGAAAGGGAAAGAGATGGGCTCGGAAGCATGTGGGCTTTGGGAAGGCTTCTCTAGGGAGCTAAGCAGACTTGTGCTTCTGTGTTTGCGAATGTATGCATCCATCTGTGCATGGTGCCATGACTGCATTATCTTCTGTTTCAGTCAAAGTTTTACTGTTTCACGTATTTATTTGTCTGTCCCTTTAGGGTAGTTGATGACTTAATTGGATATAGGGAGACTTCATCAAACAGGAAGCAGCACTTTCTTCATATGTAGCCCCACCTGGTCAGGATTTATAGCTGCTCTTCCAATAGGAGTACTGTCCTAAGCAGTTTGTTGTCTAATTCAGACGTGGGGTTTCAAACTGGTTAAGATTCCTTAGCATTTTTCCTGGTCTTAAAAGCTTGCCAATGTCAACCCATGGGCTCTGCCTGCAAAAGACCTGTGCGGGGTGGGGTGTAAAGCATCATAATTTTACTGCACAGTCACAATGTATGGTGTGCCCCAAGCTGAGTAACTGTGTGAGGACAGCATCCTCAGGCCCTCCCACATCCACACAGTGCAGTTATCCCAGCCCAGCATCTCCAGATGTCAAGTTTCATGTTTGAGTGGCATTCATTCTGCGGAGGAAGCTTGTATGGAGCTAACTATCCCAGATGCTTGTGAGTCTTTTAAATGGATATAGCTTATTCTGGCTTCTGTGTCAATATGACCTTCTTTGTTGTGATGTGGGCAGGTTCATTCAATGCTTCTTAGACTTGACAGGCTCTAGGGACTGGGAAAAATAATATCTTATGTGCAGAGGGGTATTTTTTCCCTCAGCATCTTCCTCTGCAAGCAAAGCTAGACCTTTCCTCTCCTGCAACCCTCCTCTTCATACCTGTGTTCACCTTTAGACCTGGAAGAATGCAAAGGGACTTAGTGGTGATCATTATCTCATACTAGCCTGTGCTATATTGCCTTGTTCAGGTAAGAAATGAGCTTTTCTGTGTAATGAACTCCACAGGACCTTGGAGGAAGTATGAGTGGAGACAGGATTTTATCACTCTAATAGTAAATGAGTGTGCTAAGGGAGTGTTGATGTTTTGCAGGAAGAATTGGGTCAAGGAGCCTGAAGACCATGGAGGGAGACTGCCTGAGCTGCATGAAGTACCTGATGTTTCTTTTCAATTTCTTCATATTTGTAAGTATTTAGAACCCACTTTCTCTCCTGAATCCTCCTGTTTTGAGCAGCCTGCTGCTCCCCAGCAGGACAGGCTGTAATTTGGTCACATCATCACAGCACAGAATGTCCCCTCAGCTTTGCACTAGCAATCACGGAGGGTTTTGCTGCATCCAAAGATGCTCAGACATTCTGCAAGCCAGCGCTGTGGTCACTGTTGTTTGAGTTATTCCTGTCCTTGTCAAGGGAGACCAGAGGGAAAGCTGTAACTGGTGGTGTACATGGATCTATCCTGGAATGGCAGAATTGTTTTCTAGTCCTGGACACCCTGCTGAGGTTTTCACATTGGAAACACAGTTGTTTTCCTGGTTTTCACATGGAAACACAGTTGTTTTCCTGGTTTTCACATGGAAACACAGTTGTTTTCCTGGTTTTCACATGGAAACACAGTTGTTTTCCTGGTTTTCACATGGAAACACAGTTGTTTTCGTGGTTTTCACATGGAAACACAGTTGTTTTCCTACCATGCATTGGGTCATTCTCTGTCACCCTATTGCTCTAGTCTGTGACAAGAAGGGTGGGAGCACCCAGCCACCTTGGCTTCTGTGGTGGCAATGGTTCATGTGTGCCCCTTCGCTGGGCTGCTGCTTACAGATAGTTGCTCTCTACAACCACCTGAAAGGAGGTTGTAGTGAGGTAGGAGTTGGTCTCTTCTCCCAAGGAATAAGGGATGGGACAAGAGGAAACAGCCTCAAGCTGCACCAGGGGAGGTTTAGATGGAGCTGAGGAATGATTCCTTCCCCAAAGGGTGCTCAGGCATTGGAACAGGCTGCCCAGGGCAGGGCTGGAGTCACCGTCCCTGCAAGTGTTCACAAAGTATATACACGAGGTCCTCAGTGACATGGGGTAGTGGTGGCCTTGGCAGTGCTGAGATTGGACTTGAAGGTCTTAAATGTCTTTTCCAACCTGGTTGATTCTATGATTCTATGGGGCAGCAGCGCAAGGTTCAGTCTTTCAACATTAGGGAGGTTGTAAACAGCTGGTAGTGACATGTCAAGGAAGGTGCTTTTGCTGCAAATGGTCATTTAGTGAGCAAGAGATAGCATATCAGCAGTCACCTTCTGAGTGGAGAATATATGCCACCGAGAAACAGAAGCTCTCCAAGTGAACACTTCTAATCAAAACATAGCAATGAACCCAATTTTCCTGCATCAGTTGCTTTACGTTGACCTATGTCTCTCTCCTTGTGCCATGACAGCTGGGAGGAGCGTGCCTGCTAGGCCTTGGGATCTGGGTCATTGTGGATCCCACGGGCTTCCGAGAGATAGTAGCTGCCAACCCCCTGCTCTTCACGGGAGCCTACATCATGCTGGCTATGGGAGCCATGCTCTTCCTGCTGGGTTTCCTCGGCTGCTGCGGTGCCATCCGTGAGAACAAATGCCTCCTGCTATTTGTAAGTGTCTGTTGGCCTTTTGGAATGGGGGTGACTGAATAGATGATGCTGTGATAAGTGCATGAAATGGGTGTCTGTTATTGTAGCTGTTATTTCCTTAGTAAATAGGCTTTGGGTACTTTTGCACAGCTAGAAATACAGGGAATTTTCTTTTTCCCTGTACCAGATTTGAGCCCAGTGGCTATGGAGTCTGGGAGTGTATTTGACCTTGTTAAGCTTTGTTTCAAAATGTTCCTATTTGGTGGTTTGGATTTTCCTTTTATTTTTATAAAGTGACCAAAAATGGTCCTTTCTTGGCCACCCAAACCCCACTGCTCCACTTGTGGATTCATTCCTCAGCGGTTCACAGCAAAGCAGAGAGAACATGTAGAGCATCTGTGTAACAGAGCCCCCATGTCAGCAAAATGAGCAGCTCAGAACCACATGGTGGTCTGTCACTGCAGCTCTCAATAACTGGTTGCTCCCTTATGCAGCCTATTCTGCTCCTAAAACGTACCAGATTTGTTCTCTTCAGGCAGATTTTCCCCTGACTGATAGGGTTAAATTCCATCCCTTGTGGTCATCAAATAATATTTCCAAAGAGATTAGCCTCTAAAATAAGTCACTTTTGACCTCTACCATAAGTTCTGATACTGCAGGGTTTTCAGCCATTATCTCTTACTGGAAGGCATTACAAGTTCCGTGTTGAAAGACAAAAATCATCAGGTTTACTTTGCATGACCTTCTGCTTCCCCATTTGGGTCTGTTGGGTGTTGGGGCTTTGGGTTTTTCCTTGTTAGGGGTTTTGAGGGGGTTGGTTTTGTTTTGTTTAAATCTTCATCTTATGGTGTTTTGCTATGGTTGTATCTTGCATAACAGCTTCATGGTGCAAAAGAGACTTGTGTCTAAACAGAAGAGGAAAGTTCTCTTTCCGGAATGCAAACCCATTCTTTCCTAGAGATAAGCATGGCTGCACTGAAGGAATTCTCTATGGCCTTTCGCTCACCCACACCTTGAATTCATAACCTGCAAATGAGAGCCCTGTTCTGGAAGCCATTGTGGCTTGATTTAGTGCCTCACCTCACAAGTAAATCAGCAAACCAAATGTGCCTGTGAGGTTAGGAAGATCTGCCCAGAGGAACCTAGTAACACGCAAAGGATCAGGCACAATAAGCCAGAGGTTACTCCAAAAGCTTGTCCCTGTCAGATTGAGAAACTAAAAGTTATGTTTGATGACAAGTATTGATTGAAAGCGGATGGGAGTGTAATATTTTCAGCTTGGACCATGTCCACTGCATATAGACTGGCTGGAGGAAGTTCTCTCCTGATTTAACATCACAGAGTTGCATCATGGTTTGAATGGTCCTTCTGGTGCTTTTAGTTATACTCCAGTGCACTCAGTTTTGTGGTTCTGATTGTTAGAGATAGTCCTTATCCCTGCTGCTTTATCTATTTACTTTTGCTATTATTTTATACTTGGACTGGGAGAAATACATGGGCTGAGAGCAATGCTGTGGACTAGGCGAAACTCTGAAAGTAGTTACTGGATGAGGAGTTGGTGTTCCACCTTGATCAGTTCTTCCAGAGCTTCTGGCATGGCAGAGAGGTTGGAGCTAGATGATCTTAAGGTCCTTTCCAACCCTAATGATTCTATGATTCTATGATTCTATGGTATCGAAGTCAACTTGTTAAACAACAGCTGTGATGCCCTCGGTCAGGGATCTGTGCTGATACCAAGTGAAAGAGATATCCTGCTTCTTGGGGGACCACACCAGCTGATGTTAAAATGCATAAAGGACCTGTGAAACCAGAAGCCTGATGCGAGTAAGTTGTAGGGTTTGAAAAGGCAAACCATTCATGAACATGGGAACACCCTGTGAAGCGGAGAGTGTGAGGCTTTGGGGGGGTGGTACTTGGGGGAAAAGTTGCTAGATCAAATCAAGCCCACTTACAAAGTTGTTAAAGAATTGATGAGCCAGAGAGCTGCTTGAGTGAGATTTCACAGCGATGCATAATGCATGTCTGAAGCTTTTAGTCCAAATGTAAACAGGAGATAGAAGGGACACGACAGATGCGCAAATGCGTGTTCTCTAGGTTCTGGCTTCTGTGCCTGCAAGAACTTGTATTTTAAATCAAGCTGCTTGTCTCTTGGTACAGAAGCATCACTGTGTAACCTAACATGTTGCATTAAGCACAAGGCTGTGAAGTTTCTAGATTTCCCAGCATTTGGACTTGGCTCGTGAAAAGCAGCAAACGTTGGCCTGCAAATCAGACATTGAGTAACTTCTAGATTGTCCTCAAGGCCTTCTGACTGCAAAAGAACACCATGAAAATCAGAAACTAAAATGCTGCTGAGCATACAACATTATATCACAGGACTGATTCAGCTTTGCAGCAAGAACCATCCATATTAATTTCATTTGTCTTAGTTTTGACTGCATGTATCCTGATTCGCACTCTTGTAATCTGGATGCAGTAGCCCCTGAAACTTTATCAGCATGAAAATGTGGGTCTTTTGGGTTAAAGGCTGTTGCTGCTTTTTGTGGAACAGCATTGGAGAAACTGGAGCAGTAGATGAGATGTGAAAAAGAATCACGAAACACTGATTTCAGGGAACATCTGATAAACCTACAACCATCACCAGAAGCTGAGGCAGGAGTGTTGACCAACATGCAAGACCCCACTCCTCAGGAAGTTTACCTTGCATGTGGGGGTTACCCATGTTCAAATGTTGGGAATTCAGCATGAATTTGAACGTGAGGCTGTTGTGTCCCACACATTAACCAGTTGGCTATTTAGTGCTCTCATCCGTCAGTGATCAATTTAATTTTGGGAGGCAAAACAAAATAAGCAGATTTTGACTCTCATTAAAATGCAGAATAAGAGCAAGTTCTGAGACACTGATGATCCATCTTCTTTTTCTCATCAGCCCTAATGGCTGCTCATGTCTTTTCTACAGTAACGGTTATAAATCTGTAGTGCAGACTGCACAATATAAGTGTAAATCAGTTTGGAAATGATAATGAAGCTTATCAGAGATAGTCTGGGAGTAACTGCTTCCACTTCTTCACAGACCTGAGCTGGAGCTTGGGTGAACATGTGTCTCCCAGTAATCAGTAAATGAAATGCAATTAGCAAGGTGATGGGATTAATCACTTCATGGCCACCTTAGACCTCTTTGTGACTATGCTGAGATCCCTTGATGGATGATGATGTGAATTTGCAAAGCATCCTTCATTCTCATCACTTGTTCTTTGCCCTCCTGTGGTGAAATTAAAACAGTCTCTGAGCAGGAAGAAAAGAAACCACACAGAAAACTCTGGCAGCAAGAATAAATTAGAGAGTTAACTAGTTCAGCAAAATCAAGCCAACAGCATCCTATTAGCAGCCCAAGTCCCTGCTCATCTGACTCTCCTTGTTTTGTCATCGGAGTCCAGGCTCCTTTTCTTTTGTTTTCCCTGCAGAAGCAGGTAGACAAATGGGACAGGATGGTGCGTGCACTTTTCCAGCATGGAAAAGTCACTTACAGTCCTGATAATTGACAACAAAACAACATTTTGCCCATTTCAAGCAGGTATTTTGAATTCTCTTTCCGTTACCAAAATGCAGAGTGCACAGTATTTCAGACAATGTTTATAAATCATTGCTTGGGGATCACAATAGTACTTCTGGCCCCATCTGCCTGCCTTCTGTTTCAGAAAGACCTTCAATAACCTTCTCATGAACACAAAAAAAAACCATCCAGGCTTCTCTTGTGTTCATTTCTACTTGTTGCTTCAGCCACCTTCACTGGTAACATATACTGTGCGTATATTGCCCTCCATGTGATGTTGTCTTTATTCTCTGTTCACTCCTGGTTTCCTCACATGGTTCCAAAACCTGAGTTCATTTCTGAACATTCACTCAGCTTTGTAAAATCATCTTCGAGTCTGTGGGTAATTCTTGGGATCCTTGAATATAGAATCACAGATGGTGATTTCTCCTTTATAAGAACAGAAAAGCCTGCCCATCTAGTTCAGATTTATGGTTCCTCAAGCCCACTACTTTGTCTCCAAGAATGGAAATGAATGCCATTGTGGGATAGGATAGAGCCTAGCCACTTTCTGCTCTGTTCTCATAGGTGCTCCTCAGCACCCATAGTTGTTTTAAGGTCTTAGAGGGCACATCCCTGCCTATTCCTTGTACTGTTTCTTATGGACTGCAGAAGCATGAAACTAGCACAAGGCATCAATGCAACAGTGCGCTTAATGTAAGGATATGAATATGCACACTATGGATGCTATACAAGACATGGATGATATTTGCATAATCGAATTAAAATTATGACGGTATGTTATGAACTTTTTGGAGAGGTTCTGTGTGGTTAATACTTAACTCAGTGCAACCCCATTGTGTGGAGAGGGATATTAATCAAGGGTAATCTTGTCCTGAAATGTAGAATACTCTGAAAAGAGTCCATTTTTGGTCAAAGATGTAAATAATTATGTTCCACTACCTCCTTCCATACACAATGAGCTATGATTGTATTACAGTAAGATTGTTTATGTTGTAGTGATGGGTGTGTGTGCATATGTAGGTATACGCTTGTGATGCATACATCTGTGTCAGCACAATTTAACACTGTATGAGCATCTACACAATCATATTACTTTTTCCATCCCAGTAGGCTTTACTGTTTTAACCTGGTACACATTTATTATTGGGAAATGCCATGTGGCCTGTAGTCTTATTCCTTTTCATCCATTAGAGCCAGGCAAAAGCATCCCAAATCCCACATCTTGTGACAGCAGAGAGGGGCTGTTTCTGCTCCAGGTTACCTACTCGTAGGGGTTTTTTAACTCTCAGGGAAAAAAAGTTTCCTTGGTTATTTGGGGTTGGAACTAGATGATCTTAAGATTCCTTCCAACCCTAACCATTCTATTTCTTCCATCTCTTTGGTGACTAGCAAACCCCTGTGTTCCTACTACCTATTGCGAGCACCTAATAGTATGATATGTTTGGTTGATTTGTATTTCATCTTCTCTTTTCCAGTTCTTCATGTTTATTTTGTTAATCTTCCTGGCGGAGCTTTCAGCTGCTATCCTGGCTTTTATCTTCAGAGAAAATGTAAGTACCCAATGGTGGGTGAACTCTGGACCCCAGTGGGGTTGTACGCAGCTGGAGATGCTGTTAGATGGTGGCTGATTGTTTGTAGAGCTATTGTTTGCTTTAAATACCAACAAACCTGTTTCATTCCTACCCTCAGTGTGCAGAACTGCCAGCAAGCCAGTGAATACTAACTAACCTGAGGTACACAGGGTGGATGGTTTATGTACAAGGGAGATACACATTGAGGGACCACTTAAATCCTGAAGATTTTAGTCTTCCTGCTTCTTCTGCAGCCAAACCAGCTGCACATTCCACCAGAGAGAAGTTTATTATAAAGTCACACTAAGGTTAAAGCAAACTCTTTCATTTTTTCAATATAGCACGTGTTTAATATTAATACTAATAGTGAAACCTGCTGTTTTCCCAACAGAGCCAATGCTCATTCTGCAGTGTAAAAAAAATTCCTCTTGTTCATCTTCTAATCATATTCCTTCTTGAACTTTCATGTTCTGGTGCTCACCAGATTCCCCTCAAGACTGCTTGAGATAATAAGATATCCCTTCTGATATCCCTGCTTGAGGTAGTAAGGTATCCCTCCTGACCTGCCCTGAGCAAGTCTCCCCACGTCCCATTCTGAGCCCCATCAATGGATCCCCTGCATATTGCCCTGCTTACAGGTTTCTGGTTCTTCTCTCCGCAGATTTCTCTATTCTGCTTCTATGCATATTATTACATGACCATTATCCCTTCCCAATGCTAGTAGTAAGCTTTTGCTACACTACTAGTAAGCACAGTCTCATTTGTTTCTCTAACCAGCAAAGGTTTGTGCATTTTTCTCCTGTTCCCACATGTGAAAGAAGAGCCTGGTTGAACTAGATCCATGCTTCCCAGGTCAACCCATCTTTGCAACATGACTGAGTGATGGCCATGGCAAAACGGTGACAGGTAGAGATGGTCACTACTGACTGTTAGTATTTATTTTGTTTATTTGGCCTCTATCAGTAGTGAAAGAACATACAGCATTTTCCCTGTACTGAAGAGGACAGAAATGTGGCATGAGCATAGAAGGGCCATGTACAATGATGCCCTTCTTGAGTTGGGATATACTTTATGAGAAGATTTGATAGGCAAATAATTGAGGACCCAGGAAGCTGAGAGCAAGACAGCATGGAAGGTAGCTGGAGAAGAAACTGGTCAAGCTGGAGGCGAGCCTGTGTGAAAGGTGCTGCAGGGCTGCTTGTGTCCTCCTCCCTCAGTCACATCTTGCTTCTGGGCAAAGCATCAGCGCCTTCCATGGGAGCTGTGGGACAAGTGAGGATATGTTATCTTGCACGATAAGGTCATGGTGCTTATTCTAGACTTCTGTGGCAGCTGGCAGTGTTTTGTGAGAGAAAACTTGAAGGAGAACAAACTCCTATCTTTCTTGAGCTCGACTCCCTGTTTGTGTCACCAGCTTCCCACTCTGTCAGAATGACTGACAGGAAGGGCTTAAAAGGGAAGGAATGAAGAGCGTCAAATCCCAACATAGCTGGGGATGGCTCTGTGCAGAAGTTACACTCAGCCTGCAGATTCTTGTGGCTTGTTCTCTTCTCAGGTTTCTTCTGAAAAGTAAAACAAGCCCGACCCTTTTTCCTGTGTATTTTGGTGGTAGCTCTTTGGGCTTGGTTATTGGGGCTAATTTTGCTGTCATCTTTGGGTTAGGGTGAGGCTAAATGGCTGGACAGAATGTCCGTGGGGATAGAGGTGGTCTTTCAGTGACCCCATGACGGAAAGGATTCTTCACAGTAGCAATTTAAGGTCAAGTTCAGATGTGCTTTTCCCTGTGGAATATGTTACTTTCAAAGTGTGTGGTGGTAAATACATATTTAGGAACTGTAAATTTCTTGGAAGCTTAGCAAGTGGGTTCCTGTGATGGTCGCTGCATGAATCCATATGGCTGTGGCCTCACTGCGTGCATAAAATGAGGCAAAAAAGGGAAGACTTGCTCTATCTCTTCACTTTCCAGATGACGTTTGGTGCAGCTTTCTCTTGTACAGGGTTTTACATCCGAACCAGCTTCCAGACACTCAACAGAGTTAAATTATTAATAGCTGAAAGAAATTAAGAAGCAAAAATAAGGGAGAAAAGAGATGTTTTCTGCTGAGATTTGACATGAGAGGAAGAGTCATTGAAGCACAGTGTGGTGGTGGGGTGAGCCAAAGTGATGCTTGTGATAGTGAGTTGCTGTGATCTACAAGTCTATTTGCACTCCTAAAGAACTGTTTAAAAGCAGTCTCTGAAGAGACAGGTTGTTTTTAACCAGCTATGGGAATACCAGAGTTTCTTTTCCTTTGTAAAGGAGGTTTTGGAGGGTGGAGAACTCTTTTCCATCTAGAAAGACCCCTCTTAAAGTAAGGCCTTCCATGAACAATAGAGAGATGCTAGGAAAGAGCAATTTGACTTATGTACAGGAGCAGCTCTTTATATGCTTTCAGAGGTTTGGGTGGGAAAAACCCTAGAGGAATATTTGACTCTTAGTGCATTGTCTTAGCAAGCTAGCAAGCAGAATGGTAGGAACAGATGAGTCCAGTGGCAGGGCTCTGGATGGAGTCAGGATGTTTGACAATAAACAAGTCACTTTGGTTCCTGCTACCTCAGTTTCCTCAGACATAAAGCAAAAACTAAAGAACATGAACCATCCATCCCTCAGCTGGGCAGCTGGAAGTCTCTGGGATGGAAAGCAATGTGGAAGTGAGAAGTGCAGCACTGGTGGCAGTACCTACAGTAGGAGCACTGTACTGTGCAGAAGCGTGAGGATGCTCCAGGCAGGTGCAGGTGGACAGGAGTGTGTCCTGTTTTCCAAGCAGGCACCAGCAGAAATGCCCTCTTTTTCCCTAAATCCCCTTCATCTGGCTACAGTAACCCCGGCCAAGCTATCTTTTGAACCAGTGTGACAAAACACTTCATTCACTGGCACATAAATGTACACATGCACGTGCTTCCTCTGTATTGGAGATGTTCCTCTCTGAACAGCTAGAAGAAATCACAGCTGAACAGCTCATTGCTGTTAATGGCTGTGGCAGATCTGTGTTGTCAGAAATGTATGTGGAGATCTAGTTTTATGATTAGGTTCTTTCCTTCCTTCTAAATAGCTCTGGCCATAGGACTCCAATGTGCAGAGACCTCATCAGTGCTGTCACCAGCTTCAGCAAGAGGAGGGCTGTGGGCAAAAGTCAGTCTTACGACTTTTATTTTCCCTTGTCAGTGATTTTTTAGAAGAAAGATGCTTTTCTCATTGATTTTTTATTATTAGGGTTTTTTTATTATGGGTTTTCTTACATTTTTTCTGAGCTTCAGATGCTCAGGACAAACAACTTAAAAGCAACAAACTGGAATCAGTTATCTTCCTGGCAAACTTACCCTTTCAGCACTAGGCTTTGCTTCAGGCCAAGTGTCGTAAAGAAATCACACACAAACTCTGAGCAATTTCCTCAGGGGTTGCTGCTGTCAAAATAAAGGTTTCACTTTGTATTGAAATGACTCTTTTGTTTTAGACCCCGCCAAAGGCAGTCAGCTGGGATTATTACCAACAATGATATCAGTTTCAAAGTCCACGCTTCAGAAACAGACAAGCATCAGAAGAATGTGCTGCTGTCTCAGCAGGGAAGCGTGCTGCGTGGCAAAAGTATGCCGAGAAAGGGAAGGAAAGGAGAACACTGAGGACATATTTCAGTCTCACATTTCATATTTCTCTCAGTGAGCCAAATTCCCAAAGGAAAATGCTGTTTTCTGGTATTTTAATGTAGAAAAGAAAAAAAAACCCAAGAGTTAATATTTGTCCCGTAAACGTGATTCGGGGATTTAGCAGCATTTCTAATTAAAAGGTAGTGAGACTGAGCTACCTGCATCACGTCTTTGTGACAAAGTATTGATTTAATCCTTACATTTGGCCTTAGTTTGTATTTGTAAAAGAGAAGTCAATATGAAGTGGTATTTGGCAGTCTTAAAGTCACCACAGCCTCCTTATTTTTTCCCCTTACATTCTGTGATACAAAGGAAACAAACAGTTTTGTGCTTGTGCTTTTGTGCCCACCCATACATCTCATACATATGCATGTGTATGTGCGATATTTCACATTGCATATCAAGAACCTGAAGCCAACTTGTAGCTGTATGTGTCACTGCATCTGCAGTGCTGGATGAACAATGGGAAAATGAGTAAAAAAAGGTCTTTTTCAGGCAGCTTAATTCCTGACCCTGCAAATGTGCAGCACTAAAGCAATGCTGTATCCAGCTGAATTCAACCCCCTTTGCAGTGGTAGGGAGGTTTTGCCTCTATGGATCACAAATCACAAGGTATTTTGGAGAGGAGACCACACAAGTCAAGACCTACTGGGAACCTGAAAAGGGGATTCCTTGCTATTTTTCCTCCTGAAGTGATGGAAAGGCAACCAGATGGAATCAGGGTGTACAGCTTAACAGTCTATAAAGTTCATATATTTACTAGTCCTCCAGAGAGTGACCCTAAGTAAATGTAATCTCAAGGTGTCTAACTTCCCTGAGCCAAAGTGTTTGTTCAGTTTTCCTATTTTACTGTAAAAGTAAACAGGAGTAAATGAAATTCCATTCATTTATATTGCTGACCTTAGGAAAAAACACTTGAATTATCTAAACACTGGAAGTATAAAGAGGATTTTTTTTTTGCTTCACGTGTGTGGGTTGGTTTAGATAATCTAAAGCATTGTCAGGGAAATGGTCTTTTTTTCCCCCTGATTTGTAAGTTGACCTGACCATTCATTTTATGCTTTTTACTTCCTTTTCATTCCCAGAAAGTTCCATATTAAGGCTTCATTCTGCTCTCTCACACAGGGACATAAATTCAGAGCAGTTCCCCTGTTGTTAGTGGGAAGTTAACTGATTTAAAATGAAACATGAGGGGAAAACCATGCTTTGATTGCAGACCTCGTGAAGCAGAGTACATTAAACTACTATTTGGGGTTGGATTTGATGACCTTTCTGGAGTCTGTTTTAGTCCTGTTTCAACTTATGAAACACTTTCAAATAGCACTGAAAAATCAAAGAAACAACCAAGCCTTAAGTGTAAACATTATCTTATGGGTATACTTATAATTCAATACCTGATTTCTAGTGAGCAGCAGTTGAGCAGTTTTATTCGGCGGGTACTATTCACTCTGGATATAGTTATCATTCAGCCAGCGTTTTTTCCCATGTTTCTCCTCTGAGGTTTGCAAAAAAGAAGACCAAAACTAAAACAACTTTGGAAAGAAACTTTGAAGAAGACTTTGGGAAGTGCTTGAAAAATGTGTTCATAGAACAATAGAATGGTATAGGTAGGAAGGGACCTTAAGGTTCATCCAATTCCAACCCCCTGCCATGGGAAGGGACACCTTCCACTAGATCAGATTGCTCCAAGCCCCATCAAACCTTTACATTTCCTCCTGTCTGTGCATTGTAGCTGACCAGAGAGTTTTTCACCAAGGAGCTGAAGAAGCATTACCTGAGGAACAACGACACGGATGTCTTCTCTTCCACCTGGAACTCTGTTATGATCACAGTAAGTCAGGCCATGCCAGTCCAATGCTGCCCATGGCCAGTGGCCACCAACACAGTGCTTAGCCCACACCCTCAGCTTGTCTTGCTTCAACAGTCCTATTGCACCAAGCATAGCACCAGGGTTTGGGGCAGTAGTGGAAGCTGGGTTGGCAGCCAGTCTTTCTCAAAACAAGGGACCATCCATCAGTCCTGAGGGAGATAGAATCATAGAATAGTTAGGGTTGGAGATGTTCCCAATGACTTTGTCAGCCTCTGTGATTTGCCAAAGCCTGAGGCATTTGACCTGAATGGGTACCCCCAGCTTCCCAACAGTGGGCACAAAAAGCCATGGAGCTCTGCAACTGAATATCGCTGCATTTACCCTGGAGCTTTCACCTTGCAGGCTATTTCAGAAGTATCGTCAGCCAAAAACTGGTGCTAGCTAATGGGGTTTTTCGTTAGCTCTTGTGTAATGAGTTGGTAGGTGGCAGATCAGGCAGGAGTGTGTGTAATGGTGTGTTTTCAGTATAGAAATATTAGCCATCAAAATTGACTTTGCTATTACAATCCTAATCAAGCAGGTTACAGATTGACTGTCATTGGAATTAGAGTTGTTGTTATCTACTATGAGAAGCTGTCTCTGTGTGTTTACACATGTGAACTCAGTGCTCAGTACAACCCACGGTGCGTCTCTTGAGGAGTGAAGAGCAGGACGTCAGACTCTGCAGATGAAAAGTCAATTTTAATCTTAAAAGAAAAAGATGAGTGCTGCCCTTCACGCCGATTCAGGACTTTAATAAAGACACTTCCTTTTGCTGACTGAAAGGAGACAGAGCCAGAGTATGCCTTGAATCCTTAAAAAGGACCTGACTTGAATCCTAAAAAAGTACCTTACTTGAATCATCTAGCAGCAACATGCCTGACCATTAGCTGTGGGGAGAAGGGGTGGTGAGGAGCCTGCATTGTACTGCTGGCTCCCTTACAGACTTGCTGGGTGATCTCAAGCAGGTCATTCTGGATGTGCTCCAAAGCCCTGTGCAGCTCGTGGCAATATTCCCAGTGGTACCTTAAGAGTCTATAGTATGACATGGGAACAGTGGGACTTTCTATACAGGCTTTGATGAAACAGAAGCTCTGAGGTCCAAGCACAACCCACTTCTTTGGAAACAATAGTTGTTTTGTCTCTGCTTTGACTAAAGCTTTGATCCCTACAAGAATAGGTCTTTGGTAGATTTCTCCTATCTGCTTTCAGGGCAAAGTGTCAACTCCTTCCTTTCTCCTCCTGTGCCTCTCCCTAGTTTGCCTGCTGTGGAGTGAATGGACCAGAAGATTTCGAAGCTGTCCCTCTTCTTCCATACTCCCCTTTGGAAAGTGTGACACCGGAGGCTTGCTGCCAGCGAGAGCTCCAGAGCCGGGAAGGGATGTTTGTCAACAAGGAAGCCTGCCTCACAGGCATCGAGAGGTTTCAGAACCGACAGGTAAGGGAAGCCCAACACCAGGGAAAGGAGTTTGCAGGAAGAGATATGGCTGCAGTGGTCATGGTGATCATACCCATGGACCTCCAAGCCACATCCAACCCGGCCTTGAGCACTGCCAGGGATGGGGCAGCCACAGCTTCCCTGGGCACCCATCACCCCTTGTCTTACCACTACATTCCCTGATGAAGAGTCCCTCTCCAGCATCCTTGTATCCCCCTCAGACACTGGAAGCTGCTCCGAGTTCTCCACACAGCTTCTTTCCTCCAGCCTGAACAGCCCCAACTTTCTCTGTATTGGAGGTGCTCCAGCCCCTCATTGTCCTCGTGTTTCCTTACAATGTCACTACGACATGAAGTTTAAGAAACTTTGGAACAAGTCCAGAGGAGGCCACAAGGATGATCAGGGACTGGAGCACCTCCTGTATGGAGACAGGCTGAGAAAGTTGGGGTTGTTCAGCCTGGAGTAGAGAAGGCTGCATGGAGACCTCATAGCAGCCTTCCAGTATCTGAAGGGGGCCTATAGGGATGCTGGGGAGGGACTCTTCATTAGGGACTGTAGTGATAGGACAAGGGGTAAAGGGTTAAAACTTAAACAGGGGAAGTTTAGATTGGATATAAGGAAGAAGTTCTTTACTGTAAGGGTGGTGAGGCACTGGGATCGGTTGCCCAAGGAAGTTGTGAATGCTCCATCCCTGGTGGTGTTCAAGGCCAGGTTGGACAGAGCCTTGGGTGCCATGGTTTAGTGTGAGGTGTCCCTGCCCATGGCAGGGGGGTTGGAACTGGATGATCTTAAAGTCCTTTCGAACCCTAACTATTCCATGATTCTATGAAGTTCCTGACTGCGTTCACCTCAGCACTAAGAACTGTGTACAAGCCTCCTACTCTCTCCAGACGAAGCAGTGGTCCTCTTTCCAGCACATGACAGCAGATTGCGAAAGAGGGTAAAGGGAGTTTGGAAGCAGCGTGTGAGCTGCTCCTTGCCTGGCAGCTGGAAGTGGCTGGCAAAGGCACTCTGGGTGAGAGATCATCGCAGACGGCACCGTACTGCTTCTGCCAGGTCTCATTGCTGTGAATAGATGGGAAGAGAGAGGAGGGAGATGACAAACAGCAGGGAGAGAGAAATGTATTTTGAGGAAGAGGGTGAAAGCAGGTAACAGATTTAGCTGTTGCCCTTTTCCCCAGCCAGCTTGATCTGCCTGTCATCTGCCCTTAGGGTCTTTTCCTCTGTGCTTAGTCTTTGCCCTTTGCAGAGGGAATGACTCTCCTGTGCTGCTCCTCTTTGCCCTCAAGAAGTCACAGTTCCTTGTGGTCAGTGTGGGGTTATGTGTGGATGGATCCATTCCCATCCCGCTGCACAAAACCTTCCCCTCCATGGCACTGTACGTGGGTTTCTGCTTCCTGTGCTGGGTCAGGGGGTGAGAGAGATCCATGCTTGTAGTGCCTGGATCTGACAGCACCTCCTGTACTAATCATAGAACAATTTGGGTTGGAAGGGACCTTCAAAGGGCATCTAGTGCAAACCCCCTGCCATGAGGGCTGTGCTGAGAGAACAAGGTGATGCACTGCTCAGGTGTGTCTCACCACGTTTTGTCCTTCTTAGGGCTGCTACACTGTGATCCTGAACTCCTTTGAGACCTATGTGTACCTCGCAGGAGCCCTTGCCATCGGAGTGTTGGCTATTGAGGTACTTACCTTTGTGTGACTGGAAGAAAATCAGTGCTGGTTCCTGTCCAGCAGTGAGGTTCCCCCATTGCCAGGGAAAGCTGCTCCATGCCAGTCATGAGCAAGTTGTCAGCTTGTGGGTTTTAATTGCCTGGAAAGAGCTGGGTGCTTGCTCCTTTGCCATGAAAGGGTGGGAAATAATGAGTGCCACAACCCTGCCATGCTGGCCATGGGGGCTATGGGGATGCACCACTAGCCCCATGGCCCCCTGTAGTCATTGCTGTCATTGCAACTAGCAAGCTGACTGCTCTGTCACTTGGTTAATGTGTTCAAACTCTGCCTTTGCTTTAAAAACTTCCATTCAGGGCCTGAAACTGTATTGGTTCCAGAGCATCTCCATTATCCTCAGTTAATACCTGCTCTTTGGTGATGTTTCTGAGGAGCAGGCTTCTATCAGACATGATATTATCACAGAAATGATGTCCCTGCAGCATCGCTGGGACAAGGCTGGGTGCTTTCCCTGGTCCTGTGTCTTGTGTAAAGGAAAGTGATTTGGGCAGAGAGCCCCAGCAGCCCCCAGAAAGCTGAGCTCTGCCTGTTCTGGGCTGTGGCAATGATGTGCAGAGCAGGGACAAAGGATCCTGCTTCCCTGTGACACCAGGGCAGTTTGGGAATGAAGCCAAGCTGCTGCTGTCGCCACAGACAGTTGGGGCAGGGGAATAAAGGGAGGGATCACCTTTAAGATATAAACAGAAAACGTTTTGCCACAGCCTCCATGGGTTGTAAGAAGGGTCCCTCTTGCTGCAGCACTGACTGATGGATGGGAAGGAATGACAGGAGTGGTCCCGTGGCCATGGGGGACGTTTCCAATCTTCTGGAAGATACAGCTCTCTGTAGCTGATTCTCTGTTTTTCTTTCCCCGCCTTTCCCAGCTCTTCGCCATGATCTTCGCTATGTGTCTCTTTCGAGGGATCCAGTAAGAAGTGGCCCATGGACCGCCACATTCCCCACATGCTCAGACGAAAGAAGGAAAACGAGAAGAAACAAAACCTGAAACCACCCAAAAAAAAAAAAACCTTTATTTTTTTTAACAAAATGGGGTTGGGAAAAAAAAAAAAAACACAAAAAGAAGAAAAAAAAAAGAAAAAAGAGGGTTGTAATATATGAATGACCAAAAGGATTGTACTTCAGGGGCTGGAACTTTGAGGTGATGTGCACTACACTGTACACCGGACCCTTGCCCAGAGCCACCCACAGGAGCCCAGCACAGCCACCGATTGCACTAGAGACTGATGGAGCTGATGGGGAAGAGCAAGAGGACAAACAACGGCTGCTTTATCCCCTCAGCAATCTCTACATTCATGACTTTATCATGCTTTAGACAGCAAAGGACTGAAGAACACAGGGGCTGGATAAGGCAGCGGGTTGGCCAAAGTTTGTGACTGTCCAGGTGGGTTTGAGACGAGCGGTGGCGGCTCAATTAAGGAGTAGGTAGTCATCGTTGGTGTGGTTCTGGCTTTAATTCCCAGCCACAGAAAGAAAACACATGTTCTTCAGTGAAAGCTTTGCCTCTGAAACTTGTTGGAGAAGCCAACAAGGAGGTTGGCTTCTCTCTGGAGCCCCAAGCAGGGGCAGCGTGGTCTCGGTGATGGGACTCAACTAAGGAAGGCCAATGGTCAAGAGTTTGGTGCCTACCTTTCTGGTTTTACTAAGATTTATAGCTCCTTGTTGTGAAAGAGAAAGAGACCAACCATTTCCCTGCTGTGTTCCCATCTCCTGGGAAAAAGACTGGCTCTGGTCAAGAATCATTGATACTGCTGCCTTCCTGAGAAGGGGAGGAAATAGAGTTTAAATCTTGTCAGCCTTTGCCTTTCCCTTCATACTCGCAAAAAACAGTTTGTGGTGCTCAGCATAAATATTTGCAGTGGTTCATACATGCTCTCCAGCCCTATGGGGAGGGCCAGGCATGGTGCTGGATGGGGGAGGCTGACGTCTGCCAGCCATTCCCATGCTATGTGCATCATTTCTGCTCAGAGCATTTCCCCTGGGAGTCTCCCATAGGCTCACAATGCAAACATCAAGTCAGAATTGGTTTAGTCTGCCTGTTAGTTGCGTTTCCTCCTTGAGATAGTTTGACATTTAACTAACATGTCATCTGCTTAACCATTTGGAAGTGAACTTGGGGAGGATGCCTGCGACTGCGCCTTGGTCAGAGGTGACGATGGAAGCGCTGAGGATCCAGGTAGGCTCTGAGAGCACCCAGCATGCAGCTGAACTGCTCCAGCTGCTGCTCCAGTGGTCATGGTTATCAGGTCACTGGTTTCTCTCCTCTGGAAGCATCAACCCCTGTTGCCTTAATTGTTCATCTGGTCTCTCCCTGACCCAAAACTCATTTTCCACATGGGAAGACAGAAGGGCTGTGGTTTCTTGTTTAGCTTAGGTGTTTTTACACATTTTATAGGCTCAGATTATGCAGCCCTTTTATAGAGGCTTAAACCAGCCCGTCTGAAAGCTGTAACCACTTGCAAGGAAGGAGAGGGGGCAGAAGGCAGCAGCAAGGAGACGAGCAGTAACCTCATGCCCTGGCTTTGCAGCAGCAGGTACACTGGCCGGTCCCATACACTATTGGAGCTGTGTCCCTTGAGCTCTCCCAGTGGCACTGCACAGGCTACACAGGAGGAAAGGAAGGAAGGAAGGAAGCAGCAGAAAGCCTGGTCCATAGTAGACAAAGATTCTGTAATAGATTATGTATTAGGAAAAAGCTTTTTACTGTGATGGTGGTGAGACATAGAGAAGCTGAGGGTGCCCATCCCTGGCAGTGTTCAAGGCCAGGTTGGACAGGTCTAGTGGAAGATGTCCCTGCCCATGGAACTGGATGAGCTTTAAGGTCCTTTCCAACCCAAACCATTCTGTGATCCTGGATAAAATATCCAGTTTGGGGAACTGGGATGCTAAGGAACAGGAAGGAGCTATTAGAGCTTTTCCAAACTTCATTTGAGAACAATTTGCTCATCAGAAGGAGAGGCCTGGGGCAGGTAAAGCTGCAGCCTCCCCCCATGCTTCAGTCAGCACATTCGAGCAATGAAATAGGTTTCCAGGGCTGCTGAGCAGCCTCAGATGTTGCATTAAACCTCATGGAAAGCATTTCCGCACTCTTTCCCTCTGGGCCTTCTTTTAATGAGGCATTTTAGCATTAAATTCTCTTGTTTAATGAAGGAAAACAGTTTTGCTAGCCAAAACCCAGGAGTATTTGTGCCGGACAGCAGGTGCTGTGCTTAAGATAAGGAAAATCTGTTGCATCTACTAGTATTGCAGGGAATGGGCTGAGCAGAAGGCGAGCTTATCTGTTCTGCTTCTGCCTCAGGAGCTGTTGTTAGGGACTGTTCTGGCAGAGCAATTCCCAGGGGAGGAACAAAAGCATCAGCAGAGATGGTGATTTGGCTGGAGGTGAGTGAGAGAAGCAGAACTTTCTCCTCCCAGTCTCAGGGGTATTTTCCTCCCCCTTTCCCCTCAGTTTATTATGCCAAGGCCTGGCTTGTCTCATTGCAGAGCCTGGAAGGCAAATACCCTCGTTTGTGCATGGTGGGAAGTGAAGGGGGAAAAGGAAAAGAAAAAGGAAAAGGAAAAAATAAGAAGAAAAAAGTCTTTTAGAGCCTTTTTCTGCTACCAGTGGAGTGGGGAAAAAAACATGTCAGTGATGCAGAAACAACTGTCAGTGATGGGGAAAGCCAGAGCAAAAAGTGCTAAATACACACACTTGTGGTACTGTCCCTGCTGGCTTGTTTCAGTTTGGCCTTCCAAATTCTGCACTCATTGCTTTGTCTGGTTTTAGCCTCCTTGCTTTCCCTCTCTCCCTAATGGCAGCCTCTGTACCTTCAGAAGGCTGTTATTCATAGAATCATAGAACAGTTTGGGTCGGAAAGGACCATAAAGATCATTATTCATCTGTTATCCTGGCCTTGGCACCGCTGTTTCCCCTCCCTTACCTTGCCTTATCCCCCTCCCATTGCTCTTTTCTGGGTGAAGACTTAAATCCTCCCTGGAGCTGGTAGCGTGCCATTGGGAACACAGCTCGGAACCCCATCATAGGCCAGGCAGCACATATTAAACAAGAACTGGAGATAGCTGTGAAGATAACAGGCAAGCCTATGGAAGTCAGTAACAGGCAGAAGGAATTTCCCCCCTAGAAGACCTTAATGAACAAGCAAGCCCAGAAAGCACACTCCTGCTGTACGGAAAAGCATGTGGATGTGATGGTTTCGTCCCCTGTTGATGTGTCTGCTCCCTCTGTTGTACCGTAGTTTTGTGAACAGGAGGAAGGAGGAGCAACTGTATTGTTATGTTTAACAGCTCTGGTGAGTATTTGGGGGCCAGGAGCTGCTGTGCTGCCACCTCCTTTGCTGTAGCACTGTGCCTGCAGCCCAAGCACCTTGGATGGAAGTAGTAGAGAGCAGCCTGTGCCTGCAAACCCATAGCCCCTCCTGGTGCCCCTGTTATTTAATGCTCAAATGACTGTCACGAATGCCTGGGAAAAGGGCTGTGTGTGGAATAATGTTTGAAATCTATTTTAAAAAGAAACACAAAAAAAAAAAAAGCAAACCACCTGTAAATGTTCTTTTTATTAGATAGTGGAGCTAATTTATCCTGTATTCCCTACTGTAATGCTTTTTTATATTGAAAGGATTTGGTTTTGGTAATATAAAGCAGAACACAAGCCTCAAGCACTCTCTGCACGGATTTTGTGTGCGTTTCTTAAGAAAAAAAAGTAAAAAAAAAAAAAAATAAAAGAAAGATATTGTGACAGTGAAGTGAAACGGCTTTAATTTTCACTATTTGCTCGGTGGTAAGTACAGTCACTTTCTTTACCAGAGGAGAAAGAATGAACTCAGGTACAGCAGCTAAAATGAGGTATAAACTGAAGTGTCCCATTCTCCTCCTATGCCCCCCTCCCCACCCCAAGTAAAAACCCCTTGACCAGAAAGGAGGCCAGCTTAGGACAGACAGAACCTCTCCTTTGGCACCAGCTCCAGTTTGCCAGCTCTTAGGTAGGTGTGAATAAGGTGATGGAGGGAGTGATGTGAACGATGAGCTTCCTTCACCCTCAACAGTGAGGGCTCGATGAACACAAGGGTTTGGGTCCATCTCTGGCAGAGAAAAGGGGTCAGCCTTGGTGCTGGCTTGTACCCGCTGGGGAGCACAACTCCCAACCCTGCATGTTATACAAATGCAGGTAATTCCTCACAGGTTCCTCTGGGAGAGGGTTTCAGTCCAAGGCCTTTCTCACAGTTTAACATAAGGAAACTGAGGCCTGTGGAGATGGAGTTGTTTTTCTTCAGCAGATCAGTAGCAGAGCGTGAAGTGATGCCTCAAGCTTTGGATCCCAAATCATATGCTCAACCGCCACCTGCAGCTGCGATGCCTGCACTTCTGTCCTTAAGGATGCAGTTCTATACAAACATTGCAGCATCCTCCTCCCTTTTCCCCCATTCACAACAGGGTGAAGACAACCAGCTCAGTTGGGTTCTGGCAGCACTGTGGATGCTCTGCCTGGGCTCCATCCTCAAGCCACCCTGAGAAACTCTGTCTTTGACCTCCTCTGCTACAAACTCACCTCCTTAAGTGGGCCTGGCCATGTTTCTCCTGCTGCACCTTGCTGATGAGATGGGAATAGGCCAGGGACCACAGCCTTTGCTAGGCAGAGGCATCCATTTGCCCCTTCTCACTTAGTTGTAGAAGTAGTATACAACCCCAGTCCCATTCCATGCTTCCTATATGGTCCATTATAGCAAGATGGAGCAAGAAGCATGAAGATAAAAGAACTTCTTCATCTCTCCCCGTTCAGGACCAGGTACCAAGTAGCATGAAATCTCCTACGTGGCTGCTCTCTATGTTGGAGCAGAAAACATTGGCAAAACTCAAAGTGGTTTCACTGTGCTAAGACTTGCAGAGGCAGCTGCTAAGCATGGACAGAAGAGTCCCACCTCACCTGATTTAAAGCTCCTTTGGAAAGCTGCTTCCTTCCCACCTGATTTAACCATCAAGAGGTCTTTGGAGAACTGCTGTCACATAGTGCACTAACTCATTTCTCTCACCTGCAGCCATCTACAGACCCAGAGTCATAGCTAAGCTCCTAGAACCTGCAGCCAGCACACATGGGAGGACAGCATTAAAGGGACCTTCCATTTCCTTCTTATACAAGATTGCTTTTGCTGTGGTCAGTTTTACTTGTCTTTCCTAGAAATGTATCTCCCACCCCCCAAAAACCCCACGATCAAGCTGTGTATACATTCGTGTGACCCCCAAAACACAAAGAATCAAGCTTCACGTACCTATACCAACAACTACAGCCAAAGTGCTGCACTGATGCCACTGCAGCTGCCCATGCAAGTGGTGTGCAGGGTGACAGCAAAGCCATCACACACAGCTCCCACACGCAGCACCATTCTGTCTGATTTGTGGTACCCACCAGGCTGCACTTGATCGTTTCCTGTCCCACAGGGAAAAGGTTTCCCTCTTAAAGACCAGTTCTTCCACCTGAACAGGAAGGCTCCTCTTGTATCTAAGTTTTAGTTGCTCAGTATCATATCTGGGAGATGCTGAAAGCAGCTTGGCAGGCACGTGTTCATGGCAGGCTCCAGGATTCAGGATGTTGCCTCTCCATTGGCCTTTCTTCTCAGGGAAGGAAGAATTACAATTGTGATGTTTCCTGGTCCAAGTATTCCCAATATTCTCACCTGACAGACGTTCTGCATGGCCAGTAGGTACAATGCACACAGTGTCCCAAGTTTATGCAGCTGCTTCTAAATGCCAAAAGCACTAACACGACATACAGTAGCTACCCACTACCTTCTTCTAACTCTACTAAGATATTAAATAGCCGTAGATCCCGGTCTCACCAGCAGCTTGAGCATTGTTGTTCACACAAGCATTTCTATTTCAATAGGCATCTTTATACTGGGATTTTGGGATGTCTGCTCTATTCCAGGGCATGCTTTGATCCAGTCAACAGTAGTGCATGAGTAAGAAGTCCATATCCTGTACACAGACCTTGGGGCTTTAAGTCACATGGAGAACAAAAAATGCCACCCTCCAGCTGCGGACAGGGATAATCTGCAAGGAAAGCACTAGGAAGTACAGCAGCTAACGCTGTTAAGCCCAGGAGGTGTTGGAGAAACTAGCCAGTGAGTACTAAAGCACATTTCATCTGTCCTTGACTGAGCTACAGAGGGAAACGATGCCTTCATGTGCCCTGCTCCTTGCTTTCTTCATCCCAGTAAAGTATCTTAATGCTACAACCTTTGGTCCTCTCTGCCCCATCCCTGGCAGTGTTCAAGGCCAGGCTGGATGGGGCTTGGAGCAACCTGCTCTAGTGGAAGGTGTCCCTGCCTGCGCCAGGGGGTTGGAACTGGATGAGCTTTAAGGTCCTTTTCAACCCAAACCATTCTGTCATTCTGTGATGCCTGCACACTAGCAGAGCTGGAACACCATCTTCCACAGCTGGGGCTCATCGCTACTGATCAGTATCATCAGTACTGATGCTCACTCTGCTCTTACAAGTAACCACAACAGCATTCCAGCCCCTGCTTAGCTAAAGCATCAGACCTACCTCACACCCCCCCCACTACTACCATCAGTAAAGCTGCACTTGTAGGAAGTGTTCTGGTGTGAAGAGGACAGAAGCCCAGCCTAGAAACTTCAAGAAACATCCCATGCAAGGGGATGTCTTTGTGCTCAGTGGACCATTTCCAATAGCTTCCTTCACTTCCCACATACCACAGTTCAAGCTGCTTTGCTGTTCCCAGTGCTGTCCCTGCAAAGGGACCAAACAAGGGATCTCCATCTTCTTTTCCTCCTGCCGAGCTTTGCACAGCACCCAGTGCAGAACTACAAGCGAGGTAGCCTCTCTGGCAGCAAGGAAGGAAGAAGAGCTCTTGGCAAAGCACTGAACTCAACCTAGCCCCATCCAGGTCCCCAGGCAGTCCATACTGGCTAAAAGGGAAGCGGGATGTACATAAAGACATTCCCCACCAGGCAAGTGGCCAGGCTTACAGTGGGAGCAGCAGCATCCTTTGTTGGCTATCTCACCATCCTGCCTCCTCAGGGATTTGGTTGCAATGTGCTGGTCTTAGTTTGTGCTTTGTTCTAGCGGGTTCCGAGCCTGTGATCCCATCAGCCAGTTCCATCCTGCAAAGAAACTGGCTCTTCCCTGAGCCTGCCAGGCTCACACACCTCCCTGAGCCTTCCTCCCACTGCTCCTCACCTCCTGCAGAAGGACTGGGGATGCTGCTCCCCCCCCATTTAACCAGGCAATGCCACCAGCACCGGGTTACACACTGATTCATGCCGGTAAAATGGAAAAGGAGGAAACCCCTTTAGAACCAAAAGGGTCTAACAAAATAAACCAAAAAGAAATGAAAGTTATAATTATAATGCAAAATTACCGACACAACCCCCCCCTCCCCATAACAAAAAGCCCAGGATTTAGACTTTCTTGGGACGGCGTCCAACTTGGTAGTAATAATAAATGCTGATGAGGATGAAGAGGACTCTGCTGACCAAGAGGAGCATGGCACCGGTGGCTATCCGGCTACTCTCAACCAGGGAGACGGTAGTAACTGGAGGAGAAGGAGGGAGACAAGGCAGAGGTTGGTGGTGAAGAAACAGATGCAGACAAACAGCACAAAGCTGTTTTGTGCTGCCCTCTAACGTGGTGACTTAGCGAGGCCTGCTGAGCCTTGGGAGCACGGCAGCGTTCAGCGCAGGCTCGAACACATGAACCCAAGGCAGAGGCTCTTAACTTGATTTCACAGCCTTGAAGTTAGCCACAGACCCACAGAGCTCTAAACCCAGCCCCACATCCCAGCGGCCGCAATCTGAACAGGTCACTCAAGCCAATAGAAGTTTCCACCGTGCTCTGGTATTAACTGTGGATGCTGCGTGTTCCTGAGCTTGCTCTGTGGCTTGGCCACATCAACGCTGTTAAATATTTTACAGCTTTAGGAGCATCCACAACATGCACATAATCCATGCGCACTGAGCATCTCTCCTTTTGATTACCACTGCATAGCCCATATCTGAACCAGCTACCTTATAACACAGTTAGTGAGCTTCCAATCTACACATAAAAGAACCCCCTTCACCGTTAAATATAGATAAGCTCCCTAGAAACAAACTGAACTGTTATTCTCTGGTTTGGCAAGACTGAACATCCCCCTTTTTAGTGTAGGTTGCTGCAGTCTTATTAACCACAGGTTCTAGGCAGCCCGCTCCACAGTAAAACCAGTGATGGCTGTGAAGATCAGGGTGGTTTAGGGGAGAATAAATCCATAAATCCTAAGAGGAAGATGTTTGCCCTGTACCCGGGCACCTTTCAGTGAGCAGCCCAAAGCAGAGGCTACTCCATGGGGAGGAAAAGGGAGATGCTGTAGGGAAGATGCTCCCATGGCCAGGTTATCTTTACCTGCAGAGCAAAGGAGCCATCTCCAGCAAAAGCTGGAGACAACATGGAGACAGCCAGGGATCGGGTGCTCCTCCGGCTGCGCCAGCAAATCCCCATCAGCTGATTCCACTATGACCCCTCAGAGCCTCACCCCACAACTCCTTCAGCCTGGAGTTTACTCCATCAGACCCAAAGGCACAGTTCCAATTTCATATACAGTCCCACCAATGGTTCTCCTGCCCACTTCTCCCTCTTCCCTGCATGCTTTGGGGTACATAGCATGTACCCTCACCCTTTGCATCCTCCTCTTCCTCCCTTCTGGATGGCAGCAGCTACTCACCCAGGAACTGCACGGCAAAGTAGCAGGCCTCGGTCAGCAGGGTCCAGCGGATAATCACCTTTTCCGCCGTGTAGAGAGCATTCCACATGATGAGAGAGATGCCTGCAGAGGGGGAGCACAGCAGAGCTGCCCCAGGGGCTCAGGAAGGGGCAACCGGTGCCCAAGAGAGATGTTTCTGCCTCCCATGGATGAAGGGATAAACGGAAGGGGGGAGGGATGCAAGAAAGGAGGGAGGAAGGAATGGATGGATAGAAGTAAGAAGGAAGGTAACAAGGGATGGATGGATGGAAGAAGGAAGGTAAGAAGGGATGGATAGAAGGAAGAAGGTAAGAAGGGGTGGATGGATGGAAGGAAGGAGGAAGGTAAGAAGGGATGGATGGAAGAAAGGAGGAAGGTAACGAGGGATGGATGGAAGGAGGAAGGTAACAAGGGATGGATGGATGGAAGGAAGGAGGATGGTAACAAGGGATGGAGGAAGGAAGGAGGACGGTAACAAGGGATGGATGGAAGGAAGGAGGACGGTAACAAGGGATAGATGGAAGGAAGGAGGACGGTAACAAGGGATAGATGGAAGGAAGGAGGACGGTAACAAGGGATGGATGGAAGGAAGGAGGAAGGTAACAAGGGATGGATGGAAGGAAGGAGGACGGTAACAAGGGATGGATGGATGGAAGGAAGGAGGATGGTAACAAGGGATGGAGGAAGGAAGGAGGACGGTAACAAGGGATGGATGGAAGGAAGGAGGACGGTAACAAGGGATGGATGGAAGGAAGTAGGACGGTAACAAGGGATGGATGGAAGGAAGGAGGACGGTAACAAGGGATGGATGGAAGGAAGGAGGAAGGTAACAAGGGATGGATGGAAGGAAGGAGGAAGGTAACAAGGGATGGATGGAAGAAGGGATGAAGGGAGGGACAGACGCGCCGTGCCCGCTGCAGTCCCAGCCCCAGCCGCGAGGTGCTGCTGCAGGCTGCTGGACGGACCGGCCGACACCGGCATCCCGCAACCGCCGGCCTCAGCCCCTCCGACCCCCTCAAACCAAGCCAACCCACCCCATTGCCAGCCCCTACCTGCCCTTTGCTGCCTGCGGCTCCAAAGAGGCACGGGTGGGCACGCAGAAGGTGCAGTCCCGGTGCTGAGCTACACAAACCCCGTGTCTTGAATTCCTCCACTCGTTTACAGACCGTTTCTCTAAGCTCCCTGCACCTTCCTGTCCTTTGCTCCCCACCTGCATGGGACTCTCCCGGGATGTCATCACTTGCCCCTTCTCTCTTTCCACTCCCACAAAAAGGGTCTGCTCCCAGTTTCATCCCTGTATGGGTGCATGGGACCTTCCTGGGATGCCATTGCCTGTCTCTTCTCTCTTCCCACTCCCATGAGGAAGGTCTGGTCCCAGCTTCATCCCCAGCAGCCCACCTCTCAGTGCCCTATCTCCCAGCCCATCTCCAAGCTCCCTTTGTTGGGGCACTTGGGATACACCCCTGATACTAGGGCATGCACATCCATCCCTTCTTACCCTACCTGCAACGAGCCTGAGCCCCTCCTAGGAAAAAGCATCAGTAGCTGAGCTTTTCAAAATACCCCTAAACAATTTCTTTGCTAAGAACAGATGTTCTCCTCTCCCACTGCAGCTGTCCAGCCCTACACGGGCTTTGCCCCCTCCTGCTGATTTGGCATCACTCATCCCTTCACTCTGCATGGCAGCAGCATGCCCTGGGTACAGCAGCACAGCACTCACTGAGGAGGGCTCCTCCATAGAGCCGGATGGGAATCTTGCTGCTCGCCGGTTCCTCCTCGAAGACGGCATCGTAAAGCTGGTCAGGGAAAGCAAGCGCCTGGCAGGGGCAAGGAGAGACTCAGCAGCCTGCATTGGACATCAAAACGTGCCCTCTGGGGCAGCAGCGTTCCAGCATCAGCCTTTATGGGATTGGAGCTGCTGGCCAGGAAATGGGGAATTAAGGACATGCAAGAAATATCAGTGTCAGCTCCTGGCTTCGTGGCTGGTTTCTACAGCTGAGGGTGCTGTGCTGCGTGTGGTTTATGACTCTGCTAATGAAAACAGAGCCTGGTGATGGGAGCAAACCACCAAGGACGCTGTCGGCAAAGACATGGTGAGGGCAAAGGCCTTGCAAGAGGAAGCAGCAGCAGCAGCTGCTGGAGGCAGGGAAGGGGGATAAATGCCAAGGAGCCAGGCTGGGGCACCTCTTTCACAGCAGGGAGCTGGTGGTGCCCAGGACCACATCCCTCACTTACCATGATGGCAACCCCCGAAAACATGACGGCGGAAACCAGCTGCCAGACCCTGTGAGAGAGGGAAGAGAGGACCCGGTGTGAGCAGACCCATAACTTGTGCTTCACAAAGCATCCCTGCTGCCTGCTCCGCTGTCAGCGTTCATACTCCCACATCCCACTGTGGAGGCAACCAGGAGCCTCCCATGAGGGTATGGGCTCCCCACACACCGATAGCTCCAGCCTCAGCACACAGACCAGCCTTGGTGAGGCAGATCCAAGACCCTCTTCACCTAAGCAGAGAAAGGAAGTGACCCTGCCAATAGGACAGTGCTCAGCAGGGTCCCAGACCAGGAGCTCCTCCAGCCCCATAGAGGCCCTGTAGTCTGCAGCATCTACTGTGGGAGAAGAGGTTGAGGGCCTCAAGGTTATTTCACAGAGCCATAGAACGGCTTTGGTTTTGGAAGGGACCTTAAAGCTCATCCAGTTCCAATCCTTTCCCACGGGCAGGGACACCTTCCACCAGAGCAGCTTGCTCCAAGCCCCTGTGTCCAACCTGGCCTTGAGCACTGCCAGGGATGGGGCAACCACAGCTTCTCTGGGCACCCTGTGCCAGTGCCTCAGCACCCTCACAGGGAAGAGTTTCTGCCTAATGTCTAGACTAACTCTACTGTGGGGGAAATAAGGCAGAGCTGGGCTAGTCCTGTGGCTCTGAGAAGCCCCTGCATGGAGCAGTGATGCTGGCACAGCAGCAGAGCTGGTGGCAGCAGCCAGCGCTGTCAGGGATGCTGTGGTTCAGGGCCCTCAGATGACCCAGCTCCAAGGTAGCCCAATATCTTACCTGAGCCCCAGTGGTTCCCGGACAGCAAACTTGATTTCATTGCCCAATACTTGGCTAATCTGAAATTCAAATAGAAGACACAAGGTGACTGAGCAAACCTTTCCCCAGTCTTTAGGCTGCATTTGGAAGCCCTAAAATGCATACCTAACCCCATGTGGGAGTTTACCTCCAAGAGGGCTGGAAGAGGACATGGGATTCACCTGTGACTCCTTGGTCCCTACACCTGCCAAAGGCTGCCTTGATTTCCACCAGGAGCTGCAGCCTCTACTGCTCCTTTAGTGGATAAGCCACCTGCAGCACAGGGCTGGAGCAGGGTTAACATTATCTTGTGTATCCTCTTACCTACCTAAGTAGGGAAATGTCTCCTTCCACCCGCCACCTGCATGTCACATCCCCATAGAGAAGGATGTAGGAGCATCCATCCCACTCTCACGTGCACACTGCCTAGAGCAATGCCTGGCTACGATTACCCCAGACCACACAGATGGGAAGGCTACACCAGTGACAGGAAAAGGTACTGGGGGAGCTTTTGGAGAGCTCTGTGCTTCTCCCCACATGCAGGCAGGAGCTGGGCAATGCCCTGCCAGCATGTTCTCCAGAGTGCATCTGCGACAGGGCTCCTATGGGGACTCACCTCCAGCTCTGGTACTTCCTTGAAACAGGCTGGCTTGCCTCCAACCTCTCTTCTGAGAGGCACGGCTTAAACTGCTGCTCCAGCGTCCAGGCTGGTGGGCACTGGTGGTACAATGGTCTGATGGTACCTCGTGGGTGTCTTGGCAATGGATTAAAGCAGCCTGAGGGTCGAGCTCACCCCATTACCATTTGGGTCAGCGCCTGCGTACCCAGCAGGCTCCACAACCCATCTCTACTCAAAGACATCACTGCTTGTGCCACTTGGCCTTCACCCTCCCTTTCCAGGAGTCCCACAGAGCCCTGGTTTTGGCTACAGACATTAGATCCTAAAGCCCCCCCCCACGCCACCTCGGTTTTCCCAGGTAGAAGCTTTCTTCTCCATCATTACCACACAAGGGCTTCCCGTACCTTTGAGCGATGCACCTCGCCGTCATCATCCTCCCCGCCGACCCCCAGGATCTTGCGTGTCTTCAGCCTGCTCACCAGGTCGGTCTGGCTGTGCTTCTTCATCAGCGGCGGGGGCTGCTTCGCCGCCATGGTGGGGCCCTCGGCTGCCAGGTGGGAAGCAGTCACATGAAATTCCACGAGGATCAGGAGGAAAAGCCCAACCACGGCCGCGGAATGCTCCTGTTAGGCTGGAAGATGGGTCCTCATCGTCCCGGGGCAGGGAGCCGGCTGGCCCCGGCTAGGGGCAGCTCATCTCAAGGTGATCCTGCTGTCACCAGGATCTGCTGAGGGGGACAGGGAAGAAATATAATCAGATCAGAGTGGCTTTAGCATAGGCAGTTAGCTATAAATGCTTTTGACCTACAAAGTGTAGTTTAGCTGGGGGCTGCAGGGATAGGACAAGAGGTGATGGATTCAGACTGAAACAGGGGAGATTAATGTTAGGTATAAGGAAGAACTTTACTGTGAGGGTGGTGAAACACTGGAACAAGTTGCCCAACGAAGCTGTGAATGCTCCATCTCTGGCAGTGTTCAAGGCCAGGTTGGACAGGGGCTTGGAGGAACCTGGTGTAGTGTGAGGCATCCCTGCCTATGGGGCTAGATTGGATAAGCTTTAAGTTCTTTCCAACCTAAACCATTCTGTGATTCTATGATTCTATTCCAGCATAAGGCAGTGCCCAGCAGTACCTCTTTCTTGTTTCCCAGATGAAGGGGATTAAATGCTTCCTAGACCTGGGTAATTACAGTCATTAAGCAATGCCTTGCCTTTTGTCTTTCCCTATGCCATACATCACACCCTTCAGCTGCTATTTCAGGCCAAAGGACACAAACCTCAGCTTTTTACTCGTGTGTCCCCCCAGATACTGCGGCCCCCATTTGTCTTCATTTCATCTTGGATTAGCTGAACCCAAACACGTTTTCCTCTTTGCCACTTCACCCTCCCACACCAAGGCACGAGACACAGCTAATCCAGCCTAAGCCAGCACAGGAATCAAGCACAGTCCCAAGCCCTAGCCAAGCCTTCCCATGGCTGCCCCAGGAAGAGGCCATTTACACTCATGGTTAAAGACTTCATGAGTCTTTTGGGAGTCATAAAACAAGGTGCCAGTTATTTTGGCATGGTGCATGCAAGTGTTGTCCTGCTGCCTCGTGAGGGATTTCCCTCTTGCAGGAAACCCCTTCCCTGTGGGTGTCAACACAAGAGCGGACAGTCGTGTCTGTGAGTACCCAATATAACGCTTTCTATAAGGCAAAGCCAAGAGGTCTCACTGGGACAGTACAAAGACTGAATCCCATGATCAAGGATTTAATAAGACCCTCTCAGCAGACCATAGGCAAAATGCCTTTTAGCTACTGGAGGCTTTGCAAGTGCTTCTTTGGGATTGCAGAAGGTTTTGTTGGCTTGTGGGGTTTTTTTTGCTCTTATTCCACTCAATAACCAAGTCCTGGAAAGGCAGCTCAGAGCCAGATGCAGCAACCAGGGTCTAGAAATACTGCAGAAGTGGGACAATGGAAAACAACCACAGGTGGGAGCTGTATCTACTCATACCTCCACTCAAGCACAAGGCAAGAAGCTCCAAAAGGTAGCTACTACGTAGTAGAAAAGTTTGGATTTACCCTGTCTGGATTTTGCCAGCCCAAATAACTTGTGTGTACTCAAACCTAGATAATCTACACATAAAATCCACCCCATAAACCAAACTGATGTGTCACAAAAGACCTCTGATGTCTTTTACTACAGATCCTGTAGTGCTTTCTCCTCCTGGCAGACCCAGACTCACAAGGTTGGATGCCGAGTGGCTTCTCACCACAGCTGCTGAAACCAGAGACCTGTTGCTGTGGTATTTCTAGCCCAGCATTTTCTGACCAAAGCTCTCCAGTGCAATCCAGCCCTATTAGGACCACTCCAAGGCCATCCTACATCCTTCACCTGCCCCAACACAGCTCCTGGGACATGGGGACGACATTCCCAAGTGAAGGGCTGATGCATGGTACCCAGTGAGGACCCTCATATCCCTGTAAAGGTGCTGGGTATCTATTTGGCCACTCTCCCTCCCCTCCATGCTTTGGAGGGGAATAAAGCAAAGTCCTTCCCAAAGCCCTGCTAGCTGAGGGAACAGTCTAAGCAGCAGCATCCTTCTGGCATGGGTCACCAAAGCCCTACCAAGGGATGAGAGACCTGAGGCTTGATGGTCCTGGTAGGGCTTTGGGTGCTGAGAGTGCTGGGCTCCTTCACAATTTTCAGAAGAAAAATGAATAGCTTTAAAGCAAAGAAAGTGTCATTTCTGAAGTAATTAATTCCTAATCATACAATCACAGCATTGTCTGTATCATTAAAATGACTTTGGTTTTTCAGCACGGTGTAGTTTTAATTAAACAAACCCTTAGATATATTTTTCCTCTTCCTTTGTAACACAAATTAACTTTTCTCATTAGTGGCAAAGAATAAATTAACTGTGTAATCAGCGACTATTACTTGGTCACTTCTGGAAGGGTTATTGCCAGGTAGTTTGTATGCAGTGGCTGGAGAATGGTTATGAAATAACAATTAATGGTCATGAAATAAGCATTTCAAGACACTGGCACAGGGTGCCCAGAAAAGCTGTGGCTGCCCCATCCCTGGCAGTGCTCAAGGCCAGGTTGGATGGGGCTTGGAGCAAGCTGCTCTAGTGGAAGGTGTCCCTGCCTGTGGCAGAGATTGGAACTGGATGAGCCTTAAGGTCCTTTCCAACACAAACCCACTGATTCTTGCCAGGAAAAGCTGCTGCCTGCACCTCCTTCTCTGTCCTCATGATCAGAAATGGCAAAGGAAGGGAAGATGGGACAGGTGAAAAAGAAAACGAAAAGGAAGGAGAGAAAAGAAAGGGAGGAAAGGAAAACAAACCAAAACATCTTCATATCTAGAGAATCTGTCCTTAGGGCAAGAAGCAAAGGAAGGTGATGGAGGCTGAAGGGGGCAGGCACTCCATGACTCACCAGTGAAGACAGCAATGAACACCTCTGTGATTACAGAGGCAGTTTTGCAACTCTAATCACAGACCAAAAGATCAAAATTTGCCTTTATCAGTTGTCTCCCCAGTTACTTTCAGGGCAGGAGCTTGTGGAAATTCACCCACATCATCATTAACACTGTTCTCCCCTTAAGAATTCCCCCTAGTTTGTGGTAAACCACTGGCCAAGACCCAGGACAACACAGGCCAGATGCAAACGCCAACAAAGCAATCACTGAAGGCCATGCTGGTACATAAACCCACGCTCCTACTGTTCTATGCACAACTATGGGCATGGCCCCACAGCCAGTCCCATGTCTCATTACACCCATCTTCCTGAGAAAGAGCCAGTCTAACAAATACTGAATAGTAATGAATAATGAGCTAATGAATGCATTGGTGTGAATTCAATGACATTCAGATAGAAGATGCCAAGGATTTGAAAACATTATACTTACATTATCCTGATACAGTGACAATTTAGAGGATGTTTTCTATTAGCCTGTGTGTTTCCAAAGGGGAACCTCCACCTCCTCTTTCTCCTGAGATTCTTTCTTCCTTAATCCTATTTCTGAGCATCCCAGGGGCTGTGCAGATCAATCACCATAAACAGGCAATTCCCACTGCCTGTCACAGCTCTCAGTGATGGGCAGTGCCTGTGTGCAGTAGAAAGAGGTGCTTTCTTCCTCCAAAATCCCTTCTCATCGCAGGCTCCTTTCAGGATCTCTTCCCTTGCTCAGCTGTTCAGCATACTGCACTCAATGCTGATAGCTACTGCTTAGTGGTGCAAAGAAACCTCACTGGTGCCACAGTAATGATAGCTCAATCTCTCCCCACCTCCACAGCTCTTCCCCCAGCATCTCTGTTTCCCTCCCAGTGTCTGGAGTGAAGAGGAGCTCTGCAGCACAGGAGAGAGGAGACTCAGCCACACACAGGATGCTGCAGCAGCCAGAGCTGTGCACCCATCGAGGGATGCTTACAGCTCCTCAAGGGGGAACCAGACCCCAGTCCTGCAGGCACCTTAAATTGAGCACCTATAGCATCATGAAGCAGCATCACTCTCCCCACCTCCCACATGGTTTGGGTTGGAAGGGACCTTAAAGATCATCCAGTTCCAACCCCCTGCCATGGGCAAAAGACACTACATCAGGCTGCTCAAAACCTCATCCCACTTGGCCTTGAGCACTGCCAGGGATGGGGCATCCACATTGAGATACTTGGAGCTGGGGTTTTCCCACAGCACCGAGGCAAACTGTGTGAGGAAGTTAATTAAAGGAAATGAATGATTTCTCCCATGCCAGCACATGGCTTTGCACATCTGGGCTAGCAAAACATCTTAAACCAACCCCAGAATAATGTGCAGGTTTTGCTAGGAGGAATATACTTCTACCCATGCCCTGGCTGAGGGGGGTAAGCTCTCTACCCTGGAGAAGAGAAACTTCTCCCAAAGCAGTTTATGCATGTCAGGAAGCCTCAGAGACCTGCAGGGAATGAAACTTGATCAAGCCAAAAATAACCTGATGCTCAGGCAGTACAAAACAATTAGCACTCAGCCACCACAGCAGCACAATGCGGCTGGCACAGTCTGTACACCCAAGCAACGGGGAGACTTCAGAGTTCTCACCTGTAACAAGCCAGGTACACGGGACTCCCTTCCCACATCAACACCAGCCCTTTCCCTACAGAAGGCTCTTTGCAACACCAGCAGGAGACATTTCTTGCCAGAGGTTCATCCCCAACTCTGCTACAGCCCTGCTGCTTCCTTACGCAACTCCAACAGGCACAGGGACACTGTGTCCTCCCTATGGAAAAACCTATAAGCCCATACAGATATCCTGCTGTCTGGGTTTACACATGAGGAAAATGCAAAGCAAAATCCTTAGGTCAAAGAGCATCCTCACCGGGTGCCTCCAGACCATCTGCAGACAAAGCCCAGACCACAAAGAGCACATCCAGAGCTCACCCTGCAGATTAGATATGCCTCATGCAAGTTAGATATACCCCATGTAGGTTAGACATGCCTCATGGCCAGACATGGCTGGATGCCCTTCAACACTGGTTGTGAGCCCTGCAGAGCTGCGCATGGCCACAGAGGTGTAAGGTGGCAGCGCCCTGTGCCTACAGCAGCTCCAGCAATCACTAAGTCAAGGGATGCAGCCAGCATCGCACTAAGCAGGGGACAATGAAACCTCTGCAGCCTGATGGGGAGGAAAAGAGTTAAATTGTGCTGCTTACTCTGTTTGGAATACAGGCATAAGAGGACATCCAAAGCCTGTTCAGCCTTTCCCATGCATCCTGAACTCTCCCTAATGCCTGATTTAGAGCTTCATCCCTTGCACAGGCTTAGCCCCTGCATCCTCCTCCACGCTGCTCTATTCCCACTGCCCCCAAGCACTGCAGCTCCTGCCCACAAGCTCCCCATGGCCATAAAAACATCCTGCCCCAAGAAAGCACCTCTACTGGGACCAAGCCACAGCATCTGGGAGGTATGGCCCAGCTCAAGGATTTTACTGCCCATAGGTTTCACATTTCCTTTTGCAGGGACCACAGGAAAGTTCCTTTCCGTGTCACAGGACATGTTATATAGCAATCAAAACCTGCAAAGTGCTTGGTTTCCCCAGAACAAGGCAGAATAAACTGTGTTGCTTTACTAGCTTCTCAAAGGGGAGCTATAATTAAACACAGCAATCACACTCCTGCTCACCACCTGCAGCAATGCATCAACCCTTCCACGGCAAGCCAGGTCTCCCAGGCTTGACCTGGGGACAGAAACGCTTGTTTGCCACACACTGCATGGCTATGGCCACCAGCACACATGACACCCCACAGGGGTGGATACCTGGCCCCACTGCGGCCCCACTGCATCCCCACTGCATGGGCATGGAGGGCTCCCGACATGGGGTCAAACAGGATTCACATTTCATCCATCACACACGTGCTCATCTGCTGCTTCAGTGGCTCCCATCTGGATTATTTACATACAACACCATCCCCTCCATCATCATCCTCCTCCCCACTGCTAAAGCTTTCAGATTAGCTGACTGCAGCAATCCATCCCCCAGTGCCACCCTTGAAGCTGCTCTAGTGGAAGATGCCCCTGCAGTGGGTCAGAACTGGATGAGCTTTAAAGTCCCTTCCAACCCAAACCATTCTATGGCTCAGGGAGCCTCAGCCCGCAGCCCCTCATTGTCCCCACCATCAAGCAGTGAAGTTCCCTAGGGAGCTGGGAGGATGGAGCAAAAGGGAAATAAGACATATTGTGATCGGGTCCTGTTTGTCTTTAAGGGCATTAAATGAGAAGAATTCTTCCATTTCCCAGCTGCCTTAGGCAGGTGTTTGTGGGAGACAGTCCCAGAAGCTTAGTGGGCCATCTGTCCTGCAGATGATTGCTACAGGGAAACATTAGAAGCGAAAATAAAACCCATATGCACACATACACACACAGAACCACCAATAATCCCAGAGTAAATCAACCCTTGCTACTGGAAAAGAGCAGCTTTGAAAAGCCAGGAGAAGCCTTCAACCAAACAGGGTGATAGAGGTCAGTTTTACACTAAATCTGATGCGACCCTACATTTCATCTCTGCCTCACACCTGAGGCATGACACTGTCTCAAGAAAGTGTATGGGAAGTAACGCTCGAGCAGGGAAAAGCCCAGACCCACAAGGCTGACCCACAACACTGCTGAATACTGGCTCGTCATAGTGCAATGGGGCTTCTTGGGAGGTTGGAACTCTATGATCTTAAGGTCCTTTCCAACCCAAACCATTCTATGGTTCTATGATTCTTGGTACTTCTTCCCCCAACAACCTCAAACCTCCCCAGATTTTCTTTCCACCCTGTCCCCAAGCGTCTGATAACTTCCTTTCACAAACCTAGGAAGCTGGTACCCTTCTTTCCCAACAATCCCCCACCTATGTCCCTTTCCATAACTCAAAGGAAAACCATAAGAGATTACAATCTGGGAGATTCAGTCCCCTCAGTGACACAGGAGCACTGTACACTGTCATCGAGGCAGTGATTTCAAAGCCATTCTTGATGGATTCCCCCCTAAAAGAAGATGACCTACACCTCCAGCAACAGTATTCCTATGCCTGCAGCCCAGTAGCTTACTCAGCACAATGCAACTACTGCAACTTATAAGCTACCAATATGCCTACAACCTTGAAATGGAAGATGAAATGAGGCTGTGCTCCTCCAGCACCCCAAGAGCAGGTTCCCAACCTGTTTCATGGGTAGATTTGCAGCCTCAGCTTGAGAAGAGCTGCTGCAGGATGCCCCAGCACCATCAGCTTCTTTTTCTTCCGTTTCTATAGAAAACAAAGGGTTCCTCTTCTCCCACAGTCTGTCATGGTATGACCAGATGTGCAGTCTAGGCTCACACAAAGGGAGGGGAAAAGGGCAGACGAATACATTTGCATTAAGCAGGGAGATTGCCTTTTGGTCTAGCCAGAATATTTCCTGAGTCCCAGGCACACAGGCACTCACAGGACTCATGCCTCAGCTTGTGTAAGCAGTAAAGTTTGCTTCCATGGCACAGATGTCCTGTAAATCAGGTTTGATAGGAAATGGCTCAAGTGACCATCAATCAGCAGCTGAGTTGTCACCAACCCCCACGTTGTAAAGCATTCCCATAGTTACATCCTGTAAGAGCATATTAATTATATCTAATTTATAACTAATAATATGTTAATAAATCAAGCCTATATTATTTCACTATAAGTATACAAATAAAGGGTATGGTTTGATTCATGTGGACTGACTTTGAGTCCCATCTCTTGAGGCTGGTTACTAAAGACAACTCATGCTGCTGGAATAGACAGAATACTTTGGCATTCACCTATATTTTAGCCTCAGGGGTGAAAAGAGCCACAGGGAGCAGTCTGTTGCAGACTTCCTGCTGGGAGATGCCATTAACAGCCTTGACTTCTGCTTCTAGGTTAACCATTTATTGTGTTAGGAACCAGTGTCACCTTTCAACCCTCAGCCTTGGATCACCACTCAGGCCCATCGCTGCAGCTTGGGAACACATCCTTGCATCCTCCCGAAGCAATTTGCCAACATTAAGCCCTTCTCATTCGTATACAATTACAACTCCAGGTTTATCACTCCCCTGTGGCTCTTTAAGCTTGAAATAAGCACAGGCACGCAGACAAGCTCGGGAAGTTGCTTAGCAAAAACACGATGGAGAAGGCCTCCCAACAAAACACATACTTCAACCACTTGGTAGCCTATCCCCAAGTGGCAAAAATCTCCCTCTGACACCTTGGAGGTTTCTATAGCAACAGGTTAAGGCTAAAAATGTTAGATGCAAAATTCCCCCGTGCTGGGCAGACAGGAGCTGGGGAGGACAGATTTAGAAGGGAAACTTCTAAATAGCTGCTGACAGAGCTAGCACAGGCTCTGCTAACTCATGAGTCGGTGGTGAAACAGCGTAAAAGAAATTCCTAGCAACCTGCTAGCAGTGCAGGTACACAGGGATGTGTCTATGGAGCACCAGCCTGAAGCATCCCCCAGAGCCACAGCATCCCCCAGAATAAGGAGGAGCCACAAGTATCCTGCATCGCAGCACTTGGAAGTGGAAAGAGCTGTTTTCAGGAGCAGAATTACAGCCCAGCATCCAGAGTAGGAAGCCTGAAAGCCAAAATACTTGGCTTATAGGATAATAATACTTGGATTATAGGTTTGATAGTGCTGCTGCCTCTCCATGCAATGGAGACGGGGTCATTTAACTGCTCATACCTCTGGTTTCCCAATTGTATATGAAAAGAAAAACTACCACCCAACTTCATACTCATGTTCAGC